GCATTTTTATAAAATTAATGGTTTAAGTTGTTTGTCACTTAAGTGGTGCTAACTCTTAAGCAGTCAATAAACACTATATAATAAATAGAAAGTTGTTGTAAAAAAATTATTGTTACAATTCGATACACATACAATTTATTTTCTTTTGTTTCTATCTCTTTTTTTTTTCCAATGGTTTATATCACTATAAAACATTTGTGAGTTGTTGTTCTTACTCTATTACCCTATAATTGGGTTTTCATAACAGTTTTATTCTTTTCATATTATGTTTGCAAATAGCAAAATATATGTAAATATTTTTAAAAATTTTTTAAATTATGTGTTCTGAAATTATGACCAAGAAATTTTTAACTCAGATAGTAAAAATAAATGCTCTTGAGACAACTCAGTGAACAATATATTGAGATAGAAGAAGAAAGTGAGGAATTAAAGTTTAAAGTTAAAAACACACAAAAAAATAATTTTATCTTTTTAAGCATATTATTAATTTCAAGAGAAATCATGAAAGTGTAAGAAAAAGGAGTCTTTAAGACAAGTCTAATTCATTTTATCATGTGATTTTTTTATTTATATTATCTAAAATTTATTAAGAAAATTTTCGTAAACTAACTCTGATAATATATATTTACTATTAGTCATTCTATATTTCATGAAATCAAATATTTTACAATTAAAATCATAAACATAATTTAGTAATTTATATGACAAAAATAATGATTTCTTTTAATTATAATGAAAAAAATTAAACAATATATTTTAATTATCCTAACACAAATATTTATCATAATTATTACATAAAAAAATCCTCTAAAAAAATCAATAAAATTAGCATAATATAATAATCAACTTCTGAAATTAAATTCAAATAATTTTACGTGAATAATAACAATCATAATATTATATATATATATATATATATATATATATATATATATATATATATATATATATAATAGCCTTCAGGTTTTTAGTTAAAAAGAAAAATTAGTTAGTGTTTTGTTTAAAATCATTTTTAAGAATACTTCTTTCTTTTAATTTTTAAAAATAAAAACTAATAAAATGTGATTTTTTTAATTTAGTTAATAAATATTAATGTTTTCATGAATAATTATATTAAATTATTTATTAAATATTAAGACCTTTTGTGGTTATTTATGTAATTTTTTAAATTTAAAATTATTATACATTTTTTAATTTAATTTTTAAAAATGTTATCAATAGACTAAATAATAAACAATTGTTTTTGCAAAATTATAAATACAGTACTCTGAAAAGCAGAAAAAATGTTTAAAAGGTAAATAAACAAAAATCTAAAAACAAAATACTACAAAATAAAAGTGATTAGAGAAAAACAAAGCAAGAATTTAAAATATGACTTTTTGTGTGGGCGTTATAAAAGTTATAACAGTTGTATAATATATTTTGCACACATGCTTTAATTACTTATAAATTATAATTACAGTTTTTTTTAATATAATTATGACTAATTTTAATGAATAGATATGTTTGAATTTTACTTACATAAATTTTTTCACAGCATATAAATAACGTGTGAATATTTTAATTTTTAAGATATATTTAATTACTTTTTGTTATTTCTTATTTTGTTAATTGATTTATTAATAATGCGACTCTTGATTTAAAATGTAAGATTGATAGAACGTTTCAAATTAACTTATACTTTTTTTTTATTATACTACCATCCTTACATAGTAATTTATGCTTTGAAAAAAATATGAACCTTATTTCTCTTCTCTTCTTATCATTTTCTTTTCCATTTTTTACTTTTGTAGAAAACAATATGATAACTTTAATGATTAAAAAAATAATGTCTTTAAAAACATCTTTAAAATACTTAAGATAATTTATTGTTGTTGAAATTAATAATTGCCTATAATTTTAGTTTTTAATGCAATGTTTTATTATTAATCTTTAACTTTTTAATAACTATTTATTTTATTTGACTTTTTTTTATACCCTTACCTTATGATATGTTTTGTTTAGAGAAGGAAATAAGAAGAGTAAAAAGTGAAATGCTTCTTAATTTGTTTGATAGAATATATATATATATATATATATATATATATATATATATATATATATATATTTTACATAATTAGTGAAAAATATTTTTTTTCTCTTTTTTCTTTCTTAACTTAAAATATTTGTCATGAAAATTGTTTTGATTATTTTTTTTATAAATAAAATATATCTTGTTAAAAAAAACAAATTTATACATATATTATATACTAAAATAATATATTTTAGTCATAAAAATTCATTTAAGTAATTTTTTAATATATTCTTATAAATTAATTACTGTTAACCAATCAGTTAATAACAATTTTAAAAAAACATTTAAACATTTATCTATCTTTTATTATATTTCTAATATATTATTTAGTAACAAAAATATGATAAAAATTAATATATTATATCATTAACTAAAAAATATATAAAAATACCTCTACGATTTTATTTTTTATTTTTTAGTTACTCACTTAAATATTGAAATACCACCTGCGAATTATATTTCTAATATATTATTTAGTAACAAAAAAAAATCACAAGAATTAATATATTATATCGTTAACTAAAAATATAAAATATAAAATACCTACTATTTATATTTCTAATATACTATTTGTAACAAAAAAAATATCAGAAGATTTAATATATTATATCATTAATCAAAATATAAATTAAAAAAAATATAAAAGTACCTCTATGAATTATCATTTGTTATTTTTGTTACTCACTTAAGTATTGAAATACCATTTACTAATTGACCTCAATTTAGTTTTGTTTTCTTTCCCTTCATTCTAACAGATTATCGTTAAAATGTAAGTAAAATTATCTATTTACTTATAATTAAGTCAAATTAGTATATCGCTTCAACCACAAGTCTTCATTTATTTGTGAACGTGGTATAAATATTTTCCTTTGCAAAAATCTTGGGTTCAGTTTTTTTTTTTTCTGCCATAAATGAAGGACCAACTTATAGTGCTAACAAATATATTATTTTCATGATTAAACAGAAGTGGTCACAGATAAAATAGAAAAAGTCATAAATAAACAATTGAAGGTTTATTTATTAACTGTAGTGACCGTTAGACACAAACTTCCAAACGTGTGAAAATCTGCGGAATGGATCTTTATCCGTGTGGACGGTTTCTCAAACACAGTCATTAAGACATTAACGCTAGTGGGTAGAACTGCAACCGCTTTCTCCACACTTCACACGTGCCCAGGCGGCGTTTGGGTCACAACCGCTCACACTCTCACTCTTAAATACCCCAAAGCCCCTCCCATCACGTGACTAAGATAACAATACATAAACAAATAGTAGGGATACAATCGTCATTTAACTTTCACTCTCATATTAGCGAGGGTAAGCAAAAACAAAAGCTAAAAAGTCAATTTAAAAAATTTGAGAAAAAAAAAAAAACATAGAAAGATTGAAGAAATTTGACACCACATCAGATTTACGCGCCCGCTGGTCCATTCTCAACTATGATGCGTGTGAGCTTCAGACTCTGAGAGAGAGGGAGAGGGAGAAGAAGAAATCGAATACTCTCTCTCTAACTCGCATTGTGTTCTGTTTCAGATCGTGGTTCGTGATGAAGTGAATTTATTACAGATTTACACTGTTCTATTCAGCACCGAGTATGTATTTTTTTTTTTTTCTTCTTCTCGATTACTTTTTCTCGCTCTCTCTTTTTTTTTTTTTCAAAATCTGATAGTTACTTATCGCTACCTTGTTACTTGTGCCGGCTTATGTAGAAGAATATACTTGTTAAGTTCCAAATAATGCACTCGAGTAGATTTGGAGCACTTTGTTGTGTATCAACGTGGCATTTGTTTGATAGAAGGAGAGATTAAATTATTTCTATTTCGGTTCGTATCGTATTTTTTGAATAGTGATCACAGATAAAGCAGCTGCAAAAAATAGTGGAGGTTGCCGATTCGTAAGTAAACTACGTGGTGCTGTGAATGTAAATTAGGTTATCATTGTTACAGTGTGGCGAAAAGGACGGGGAAGTTGAGAGGTGAAAATCCCTTGGTTTGCAAAAAATGATGTGTATGAGAATGAGTGAGAGAGTGAGTGTTTGTGATGCTTTTGTTAATTGGCCACAAGAGAAGAAGATAAAGAGAAAGGGTGGAAAAAACTGAAAAGGATGGCCCTGCTGTTACCCTGTTGGTTGGGGACCAGCGTTGTGTGTTGTGCTGTGCATAACTACCAATTCATGGTCAATTTCATTTTTATTATTATGTAAAACCCTGTTACTTCGTTTTCAAGCGTTATTCGGGGTCGCCGCTGTTGAAAGTTTTCTATTCCTCCATTACAATTGGTTCAGTGTTGAAGGAAGGATTAATAAAAAGGGGAACCTCGCTTTTTATGCTTTGTTTGGCCCCAGCCAGCCCTTTTTTCTTTTTAATTTTTCTTTTCCCTCGCTCCTTCTTTATTCTTCTCTCCGTATGAAGCTTGGTACCAAAGGATATAAGTAAAAGACCGGTATGTCCTTCAATCGGACTAAACTAAAACCATGATTGATCATCTCTCTTTAAACAGAAGTCTTTTAGGTCGTGATATATTGCCAACCGCTGATAGTTTATTGATGATTAAAGCGTAATTAGTTAGCATTCTGTTTTGTCTCGGTCTTCCTTTCGTTGGTTGGATATAAATATAATCTATAGTTAGCTCGCTATTGCTGTTATCAGGTATTTTATTTATCAACCGAAATTAATGGGTTGCTATCTTTTCTGAGTTTGGTGATTTCATGATTATGAATAGTGATTATCTTCTTGCATGTAGTTAAGGGCTTAGTATTTTTTGTAAACTCTCGGTTCTTTTCTTTTAAATGCTTGCATATTGGGAAATGAAGAATAACTTTGATAATCCCCTACCCCACTTGTCCACTTTTAGGAGTCATGGGCTTTTTCTGAGGTCTGATTAGCTTGTTAATTGGGTCGGAGAACACATCGCGTTAAAGCGAGACATGGGAGCTATCGCTGGAGAAGAGCTGCTGAAATGGGAAAAGATGCAAGGAGTGAGTGGCCGCGAAGAGAAGATTCTTGTGTCAATAAGGTTGAGACCTCTGAATGAGAAGGAAATTTCTGCTAATGAATCTGCAGATTGGGAATGCATTAATGATACTACCATCTTATATCGGAACACACTGCGCGAGGGTTCCACTTTTCCAAGCGCCTACACATTTGGTAAGCAAATGCCTGTTTTTAATCTTAATGTTGCTTTATTATTTGGAATTTGTATTGCCATCGAAACTGAATTATTTAGTTTTAGGTTTATACTTGACATTAATAAATATATTGAGGACTTAACGTGGGATTTTGTAAATATGCAGTCATAAACGCTCAGGGATCTTTTTCGTTTACCTGAAGAATGACGTTTAGTTATTTTTATTTTTCAATTAGTTTAGGATTGATTTGCCTTGACCCATTGCTGCTGCAATGCACTTTTTTCCCAATTTTACGGGGTCAAACTATAGAAAATAGTTTATTTTGATGCAAACATATTAGGTGAATGAATTGGCAACACTTGCTTAGTGTCAATCCCAATTTTTTTTAACTTTGATTTTAAGTATACTATTATTACGCTTAAAATTGTATTTTGCTAATTTTTGTTGTATGATATAGTCTTTCAAAGTGTTTTTTTTTTTTTAATCAAGACACTGAATTGGAGATCCATTAATTATGGGCGGAGTGTTTCTAAATCATTTTTTATGATTGGTGGTAGACAAGGTATTTCGGGGTGATTGTGCCACAAGGCAGGTATACGAGGAAGGAGCCAAAGAAGTTGCTCTTTCAGTTGTTGGTGGAATTAACTGTGAGTATATATTTTTTGGATGGCTAGTTTCTTGTAGACATTGCCCACTTTGATTAATATAGGTGTCTATTTATTCTTTCAGCAAGTATTTTTGCATACGGGCAAACAAGTAGTGGAAAGACATACACGATGATTGGAATAACGGAATACGCTGTTGCTGATATTTTTGACTATATAAAGAGGGTAACTTGACTACTATTTTATTGATTGGCTATCATTCTCCACCAGAGCCCTTATTTATAATACTAATATTAAGTGCTGTTGACACGGTAATTTTAACATTTTTAGCATGAAGAAAGAGCATTTATATTGAAGTTTTCAGCAATTGAAATTTACAATGAAATTGTTAGAGACCTCCTCAGTACTGACAACACTCCACTTAGGCTACGTGATGATCCAGAGGTGAATGCCTTTATATTGGATAAAAGTTTAGTAAAAAAATTGCATAATTAACTGTTGTTTTGATGATTCATTATTTTCATATCAGAGAGGGCCCATTTTAGAGAAACTCACAGAGGAGACTCTACGAGACTGGGAGCATTTAAAAGAGCTTATAGCCTTCAGTGAAGGTAAAGGACTTTGCATAGTTTTGTTGTTTTAGGGTAGTCAGTAGTTGGTATCATTGTATCGCTTACTTTATTCTTGCAGCTCAGAGACAGGTGGGAGAGACATACCTAAATGAAAAGAGTTCTAGATCTCACCAAATTATCAGATTGGTATTTGCCTTCCCCTTGCATTCTTAAATATTGTGCTTTATATTATTTACTGATAGACTTCCATTAACGGAGTTGCAACATTTCAGACAATGGAAAGTTCTGCCAGGGAATTCCTAGGCAAAGGCAACTCAGCCACCCTAGTAGCTAGTGTGGTATGTTTACGTTTTTTAAAATTCCCTCCTGTTATGGACATCATCAAATATTTTATAATTATTTAATTTCTTTTTGTTTCTCCGAAGAATTTTGTTGATTTGGCCGGGAGTGAGCGTGCATCTCAGGCATCATCAGCTGGGATGAGACTGAAAGAAGGTTGTCATATAAACAGGAGTTTACTTACTCTTGGAACAGTTATTCGTAAGCTTAGGTTGTCTACTACTCCTCTGTTTATGATGTCTTCCTTATTTATGCAGTTTCTGATTTAGTTCGAAAAATATACGTCAAAGTTATTTAATTTCACTGCTTCCCATGACTTGATTTTATTATTGCAGTTTTTCTTTGACCTTCTGGCTAGGTTTTCTATATGCATGAAATTGACTAGCACAACTGAGACTATTATATCGTAGGATAACGTTTCTATATATAAAGAATTAGGTTAGGGTAGCCTCTTCAGTTTCCCACATAATCTTGTAGATGATGCTCTTGAAACTCCCTTCCCAATTTCTAGTCTCTGTTGATTCTTTCTTCTACTTCTCCAAATAAAATTTTTGAAGTTCCGTTGACATGATGTGAATGAATGCAGTAACGGAAGACATGGGCACATCAATTACAGAGATTCCAAGTTGACACGTATACTGCAGCCTTGCTTGGGTGGAAATGCTAGAACGGCTATCATTTGCACTTTAAGCCCTGCAAGAAGTCATGTTGATCAAACCAGAAACACACTACTATTTGCTTGTTGTGCAAAAGAAGTCACCACTAAAGCACAGGTTAATGTCGTGATGTCTGACAAGGCCTTGGTCAAGCATTTGCAGAAAGAGGTGGCTAGATTGGAGAGTGAGTTGAAAACTCCTGGTCCGGCCACCACCAATTGTGATTATTCAGCATTGTTGAGAAAGAAAGATCTCCAGATAGAAAAGGTCGTATAATTTATTGCTCTCAATTTTTATGCTATAATGTTTGTATTGGTTGTTGACTTGTCTTGTGTTAGTGACCAATACTGCTCCTGTGAATTTATGTATCTTATCCATAAGAAGGATTGCATCATGTTAGAGTAATGAAATGGACTTGTTTGCCTTAGTTTCATCTTTTTATATTTTTGGATCGGGCAGGGGTTTTCTGAAATACATCTTACTGTTATGTATGCTTTGTTGGCGGTTAGAGATAGTGTTCAACATGTATGTCACACTCTCCTTGGATTGAAAACACTTGAATGTAGCCATTTTATAAATAGCCCTACTTTTTTTTGGGTAAAATTCGATATCTTAGATATAGTTGTATAGATGTTAAATGACATATTTTTCAGGATCATTCACGTTACCTATTTCCAGGTTTTCTTTACTCCTTACATGTTGATATAACATGAATTTCAATTCTTCAGATGGAGAAGGAGATTAGGGAGCTAACCAAGCAACGTGACCTTGCTCAATCAAGGGTTGAAGATTTGCTGCGCATTGTCGGAAAGGAGCAGATATCTCGAAAAGTAGTTTCTATTTCGTAATTGCTGAACTTTTATTACATATTTGAGGTTGTGCCTTTAAATTGGGATTGTATTTGTTCAGGCCAGCATTATTAATCATCCATCTTAATCTGCAGGAAGGGGAAGATATATGGGAAGATGACTGTTCAGTGTCAGAGTCATCGAGCATTTGTGGTCCTCATCATCCTAATACAAACATTAGAGAGTTCAACAATCCTCATTATAATGATGGAGATAGTGAAAGTATTCCTGATGGTCAGTCTTTGCATATCTATGCCTGTAGTGTAAATAGTTTGTTAATAAAGATAATATTCTTTGGTGGAACTTCACAGATCCGGTCATTATACATTTGTTAGCTTTTGCTTGTACAGATGACACAGAAGATTACTGCAAAGAAGTTCGATGTGTTGACAATGGGGATTTAACTTTAGCACTATCTAGAGAGGAAAGTGGATCAAGCCAGGAAATATCTTCACATTTGAATGAAAATACTGGAGACAGTCAGATCCAAGAAAACTCAACATTGCTGGAGCAGAGACTGCATGATGTACAGTCAACCATTGATTCTCTTGTATGTCCTTCCCCTGATCAACAATCTCCACAGGTCATGTCAGAAAATGTGTCAAACTTTAAGAATCTTAAATTAACTAGAAGCTGGAGTTGTACGGAATATCACATGACCGGTTCTCCGGAGTCAGTGGGAGAAATACAGGGGACTCCAGCTAATGGATATGATAAAGGATTCCCTGGAAGGCCAGATGGTTTGCGGACAAAGTTTCCTCCATTAAATTATGATGGTTCCGTGAGATTGTTAAGGAATGGTTCTCAGTCTTCCATGGGAAGTCTTTCTGTGGACGAGCTTAGAGCCAACAGCATCAGAACATCTGCTGATGAGGATATTGCTAGCATCCAGACTTTTGTAGATGGGATGAAAGAAATGGTAAAACAAGAATATGAGAAACAGCTTGTTGATGGGCAGGTGAGAATAATAGTTTCAGCTGTTTTGTTAATTAAGTAATACTGATCTTTTAATTTTTTTCTTTCGTAAGTATTATGGGAAATTGGTCATTATTTATGGGAAAATGATACTTTGACAACCCAAATCCATACAACTCCTATAAACAACTCTATTTTAATATTATAATAATAGTTTTACTTTATTTTTATTTTTATTAAATCATTCTATAGATTATTATATTAATAAAAGTGAGTTGTTTGAAGGGTTGTATGGTTTCTGGTTGTCAAAATATCACCACCGTTATATTGTAGCGTTTACAACAACTATAGGGTTCTTAAGTAGGAGAACTTTACTCAATGAATTTCCTTATCTGTCATTTAATGCCTGAAGTTCTTCCTTTTCACTAGCAAATGATAGGAGAAACTCCAGCTTCCACTGTGACAAGACTTGAATATTGATACTAGCAGACATGGATAATGAGTTAACCTAATGATATATACATGCTGCAAATTATATATGCTACTGTTCATAAATTCATACAACTTTCTATTTGATGACTACAGATTCTGAATTTGGAAGGTCATACTTTAATCTTGATGCTTTTGATTAAATTATGCTTTTCTGAATTGTAGGACCATGAGACAGGAAGAAAGGTGAACGTGAAAGATGTAGGCGTGGATCCGATGTTGGAGACATCTGGAACTCCTTTAGATTGGTCTCTTCAATTCAAGAGACAGCAAAAAGAGATAATTGAACTGTGGCAATCATGCTGTGTACCATTGACCCACAGGACCTACTTCTTTCTTTTGTTCAGGGGTGATCCAACAGATTCCATTTACATGGAGGTAGAGCTTAGAAGACTATCCTTCCTAAAAGAAACATTTTCCGATGGAAACCAGTCTGTGAGAGATAGTCAGACAATTACACTAGCTTCAAGGTTCCCTTTTTCTGTCACTTATGCATGTATTTTCAGTTTATTGTATTTGGAATCCAAAGGTTTATTTGGTTTATAGTTTTTCCTTGCACTGTGGTGGTTAACTTATTAACTCGTGTATTTCATGAATGTGTTATATTGGGGATACACAGCGTGAAAGCACTTCGGCGAGAAAGAGGAATGCTTGTGAAGCTTATGCAGAGAAGACTTTCCGATAAGGAGAGAGTAAGGCTATACGAGGAGTGGGGAATTTCATTGGATTCAAAGCGCAGGAGGATGCAACTAGTGAACCGTTTATGGAGCGAAAATGATATGAACCACGTAATGCAAAGTGCCACAATAGTTGCCAAGTTAGTGAGGTTTTGGGAGAGGGGCAAGGCCCTCAAGGAGATGTTTGGGCTTAGCTTCACACCCCAACTCACAGGGCGGAGATTATCTTATCCATGGAAAAATAACTCAACATCACTTCTATAATCCTTTTTACTTCTGGCTTGCACGTGTACAGCGTTAGAGACTTTTTATCAGAGTTTTTGATTGATTACGCTCTTCAACATTTTGCATTCTTTCAACGATAGGAAGGTGAGGATTGTGTTTTCGTTAGATAAGAGATGTGTGAATTATTGATTAAGCAAGCCACTTTGGGACGGTTGTCTCGTTTTTTTTATGGTTTTGGTGTATCATTTAACAAGTTGACATTTTCCTCTTCTTTTCTTTACTTCAATTCCTTGGTGCAAGGTTTGTTGTGTTGCTTGTTTCACTGTAGACTACTCTAATTTCTCTGCATCCCTTTGAAGGAAGTCATGTACTTGTGTATATTGCACTGAGACGATAGATAGATTATTTGACATAACTGTTATGATTTTGTTTGTTTTTAATTTATCTGTTTGCTGAATTTTTATTGGTTGAATTATTTTGATAATATTTCTATCATTTTATACAAACTCACGCCAAGCCTAATACTAACCTCATTTCTGGTATAGCCAGCAATGGTCAATTTTTTAGGTATAATTAGTCTGATGAGATCATATTAACTGGATCTCGTTTATATAAAATTATTTAAAATTGAAGAGTATTATTTTATTCATAAATTATTATGATAACCAATATGACTGTTGATTCTACAAGTTAACGAGTCATTTTGAAAAGAAAAATTAAAGAATTTTAAAAATAAATCAATTAGCATCTTTTAAATTTAAGTTAGATAAATAAAATTGATTTAATTTTATATTTGATATATAAATTAATATATATATATATATATATATAATAAAATAATATTAATGTTAATTTGTTTTATTTATTTATTATAGTTATTATTTTATAAAACTAACCTAACTATAATTTAATTTATAAGTTTATGGCTAACCTAAATTCAAATAAAAATTATTTATAAATTTATATCACAAACATTTAAGTTTAATCCGTTTTATTTTTTTAACTCATTAAGTCAAATATATTTTCACACCATTAAAAATAATTAATAAGAAAGATGTAAACTTTAATAAAATAATTTGTTTATCTAAGTTATTTGGCTTGATTAACAGAATGTAATTATTTGGAAAAATTATTGTACAGATTTTATAGATTTTAATATACGGATTTGTTTTTCAATATTTTTTCATTTTTAATTTTAAATTAATACTTATAATCAATTACCAATTGATTACTCCATTCATATATTATCATCTCCGAAAGATTTTACATTTATTCAAGGCATTGTATATATATTTTAAAAAAATTTAATAAATTTTTTTTCATCATACCTCTAACTACATGTATCTAGGCATCTTGTTTTAATTTTAGTGTGATATACCAAAAGCCTTAAACGACCCAATTAACAAAACCACAGCACAACAGAATTGAAGAAAAAGTGGATTTCATTTACATTACAAAAAAACCCATGTGAAGTACTGACACATTCCAAATCCATAAATTTAAATGAGGGGTGATATTTTGAGAATAAGAAACATACAACTCTTTAAATAATTTCTTTTTATTAATATAATAATCTATTCATAAAAATAAAAATAAATTAAAATTATTATTATAATATTAAAATAGAATTGTTTATAAGAGTTGTATAGATTTGGGTTGTTAAAGTATATTTTTCAATTCAAAACAAATTATTTTATGCAAAATATTTAACAAAAATGATACTTTGAAAACCAGAAAAGAACATCTGTTTAATAACTGAGAAAAAACGTAAATTAATTGAAAATTATGGTTTCATTAATAAATTATAAGAGTATGATATGCAATATTATAAAAATGGAAGGATAAATTTGTAAAAAGTGAAATATATGTTTATAATATCTTCCTCTCCCTCGACCTAAGGTTCCTTTTCTCTCGTTTGTCATCCTCTCGCTTGTTTTCCTCCGTCTTGTTTGATCTTTGTCTCGCTGAACATCACACTCGTCTCTCGCTTGAGTGACCTTACGGTGAGTGTTCGTGATACTCCATTGTTGCTTTATTTTCTATGTATCTTTGATTGGATTTTCATTGTTGTTTTCTTTCTTGTTTATCTTTGATTAGGTTTTCATTGTTGCTTTCTTTTCTGTTTATTTTTTATTAGGTTTTCATTATTGTTTTCTTTTCTGTTTATTTTTAATTGGGTTTGTAATGAAAGTGTTCTTCAGGGTTTAAGATTAATTGAGTTGTGATGTTATATTAATGTCCAAGAAGTGTTTGATGAAATACTACAATGAAGAAGTATATCTGCATCACAAACATTTTGAAAAATACATCTTGAAAAGTAATATTTTGGTTGGAAAAAAGGTTCTTAGTGATCATTCATGTAACTGCATATTACCAACTTCCTAAGATATTGTGACACATTCCTGATATATTGTGACCAAACATATGTTAAAGAGTACGACTAGTTAAATTTTTTTGGATTATGACCAAAGATGTTTGTAACGTTAGGTTAGGTTATTCCAATTCTCTCTTTTGAGTTAAAAAAATATGTTTCCTTTTATATGTTGTAGAAATTGTCCTAAATAATGCAATTGAATGAATGAATTAATTTATCATGTGTCCTTTTACTCCTCATCATGATTTCTCCTTTGTTGTGTTTCTTGATAGACATATTACTTATTCTTTTATAGGATAAATTTTTTTAATATAATCATCTTATAATTCCTATTAAATAAAATTAAATTTATCAAAAATGTGAAACTTACAAAGAATAATTTTTCAACTGGCTAAATAGAATGACATACATGTTCACGTCAATTATCAATTATCAGTGTGTACGAAAAAATGGACAGTGATTTTTTTTTATTAAAAAACTATTAACAAAAATATCTATAATACTATATTGAAATTTAATACCGTAGTATCTTGGAAATCGGAATAGTTTTGTTATCCTCACCAGAAAAGTTTTTAGTGCTTCAAATATTTCATTTAGATCTACATTGTCTAGATTAAACAAAAAAATTGCATGAATCATTTTGATTGTGCTCTGGAGATTTTTTTTTTTTCAAATGTAAAACCTTGTTGAAAGAAGTGAATACAGATAATTCACTTTTGTTTGAGGAGAACCATGTATTATATAAACAGACTGGAATATCCCCTATTGATAACTTTTTTTATATATGTTTTATTTGAATGCTTATAGTAATATTAATTTCAATTATATATATTTATAAACAAAATATTTATATTATTATGTTTTATTTTATGCGATTTTATTTATTATATAGAATTAATAATTTAATTAAGTATATATTTTATTTTATAGAATATTTTGATTATATAAAAGTCAATATTAAAAATAAAATATTACGTTATAAATGATTAAAATACCCAATGGAGAAAATTATGAATGATTTTAGTATTAATAAGTTATTCAGTAAAAATATATACAAAGATTCTTTAGTAGAAAAATTATATAATTCTTAATTTGTTTTTATTTAAATGATTAAATTACTTATATTTAATAATGGATAAAATAGTAAAAAAAATATCTTTTATATAATGATATAAATATAATTATTTTATTAATATCAATGGAAACACATTCCACATCTTGGTATAATTGTTTTTAATATATATTTGCTATTACTTTTCATTTTCTCTTTTTAGTATTTAAATGTATTCACATTTTTTTCTGTTATACAGTTATTATAGTTTTCTTAATCTCTCCTTTTTTTTAATTTTTTTAATTATAAAAATTATTTTTTATATTAGCTATTTTCTTCTATATATAATAATATATTTAATAAGAAATAATAATATATTACAAGTTATGACAAAAATATAGTTAAAATTTTTTCTTTCTATATAATAGAAATAAATAATTTTCTTATATTACCTCTTTCCCAATAGTATATTTGATAAGAAGTAGTACTATATTATAACATGTCAGTTTAAACAAAAATCTGATATGTAATATAGATAATTATTTATCTTTTTTTTCTTATATGTTATATTTAATACAAAATAATATTATACTATAAACAAAGACAAAAATAAACTGTTCAAAAAAGAGAAATTTATTTGCATATAGTATAAATATAGATATTTTAATGGTAAAAAAAGAATTAATGTATCATTAATGACATAGGTTAGGTAGTAGTGAATGAGGATATTCACGTCCTACCACTTAGTTATCAACAGGATAAAATTCCACATATTATATCATTATGCTTAACGAGTGGCAAATTATCGCACGTTTGTTTGAGTCAAGAGTGAAGAATATCAGTCATAGAAAATGGCATCACAGTGAGATAAGACAGTGACAGGGAATGTGCTTCTCCTGATTCCAACTACATATGCTCACTCCTCTTCTCGACAAAACTGCATCATCCTTTTCAGGAAAGATGGCTGTGGACGAAGCCGCTGCATCCGAGAAAATGATAGAAAATTCGGATCCTCAAAACAAGCCCAAAATAAACAAGTTTGCTTTAGCTTGTGCCATTTTAGCTTCCATGATTTCCATCTTGCTCGGTTATGGTGAGTATTACCACTGCTAAGCTAAGCATATATACATGTATAGTATTCATTCGTTAATTTCTCTCACTCCATGTCCATTTTGATTGCTACAGATATTGGAGTGATGAGTGGAGCAGCTTTGTACATACAACGAGATCTCAAAGTATCTGACGTCAAAATCGAAATCCTCAACGGTATCATCAATCTCTACTCGCCGGTCGGTTCTTTCATCGGCGGCAGAACCTCCGACTGGCTAGGTCGACGTTACACAATTATGCTCGCCGGTGTTATTTTCTTCGTCGGAGCAATCCTCATGGGACTCTCCCCTAACTACGCTTTTCTCATGTTTGGCCGGTTCTTCGCCGGCGTCGGAATCGGCTTCGCCTTCCTCATCGCCCCCGTCTACACCTCCGAAATCTCCCCTACCTCCTCTCGTGGCTCCCTCACTTCCTTGCCGGAGGTTCTGATTTCGCTCTCTCTTCTTCTAATCATGGTCCAATTACTTCAAACCGTTCATTATGAGTTCAAAACTGCATACAGTAGGTTTTCAAATTTTCAATTCAAAAATATGGTTCACCGTCAACAAAATTTGAACTTTTTTTTTGTTTTTAATTAAACGAATTGTTTTATCAAATTCGAAACAAACTATACGCCTTCGAACTCCACTGAACCGTAACTACCTATTTTTTTTGTACATTGATATTCAAATTGTTTAGTACAAGCGGTTAGTTTGAGTTGGTTCTCTCTGAGTGATTCATTTCGATATGTTAAGATGAAAGAACTCTTCAATGTAAAATTGTTTAACGCTATTTTTTATATTTCTTTCAGATATTTCTGAACGGAGGGATTCTAATAGGATACATTTCGAACTACGGATTTTCGAAGCTGCCGCTTCGGCTGGGATGGCGGCTGATGCTTGGAGTTGGAGCCATTCCAGCCATTCTCCTAGCCATGGCGGTGTTAGCCATGCCGGAGTCGCCGAGGTGGCTGGTGGCGCAAGGTCGATTAGGCGAAGCCAAAAGAGTTCTCTACAAAATCTCCGAGTCGGAGCAAGAAGCTCTGCTAAGGCTAGCCGACATAAAAGACACGGCTGGGATTCCTCATGACTGCGACGACGACGTCGTTTCAGTGACCAGGCAAACCCACGGGCAAGGCGTGTGGAAAGAGCTTTTCCTCCACCCCACGCCCGCGGTTCGCCACATCTTCATCGCGTCGCTCGGGATTCACTTCTTCGCGCAAGCCACGGGCATCGACGCCGTCGTTTTGTACAGCCCCAGGATCTTCCAGAACGCCGGAATCAAATCCGATAACTACCTTCTCCTCGCCACCGTCGCGGTTGGGTTCGTGAAAACGGCTTCCATTTTGGTGGCCACGTTTTTGTTGGACCGGGCAGGGCGGCGCGTGTTGCTCTTGTGCAGCGTTAGTGGGCTGATTATCTCGCTCGTGGCATTGGGAGTGAGTCTCACAGTGGTGGCCCATTCGGAGTCAACGTTGAAGTGGGCCATTGGGCTGAGCATCGCTTCTGTGTTGGGCTTCGCGTCGGCTTTCTCGATGGGGTCGGGGCCCATCACGTGGGTGTATAGCTCGGAGATTTTCCCGCTGAGGTTGCGGGCTCAGGGCGTGGCTATTGGGGCCGTGGTGAATAGGGTGACGAGTGGGGTGATTTCAATGACTTTTCTGTCCCTCTCTAAGGCCATTACCATTGGCGGTGCCTTCTTTCTCTTCGCCGCTGTCGCAGTTGCTGCATGGATTTTTCACTACACGATGCTCCCTGAAACACGTGGGAAGACTCTTGAAGAAATTGAAGGGTCTTTTGGTCATTTCTGGAGGAAGCCTAAAGCTAAAGGTCTTGAATACGATAAGGCCGATGTCCAATTGGGGAGTCGTGACCAAACTTCCACAAACGTATTGGGATAAGTGTAATGGCCAAACCTCTGCAAACCATTGATTATTATTATTATTAGTAATAATAATTATTATTATTATATTAATAAAATTGGTTACCAATTGGTAGTTAAAATCTACCATTTAAAAAATGTTTAACTCTTTTAACAGCATAAAAAAACTAAAAAGTGAACGCATCCTCTAATAAAGAATTAGGGCCTACTAATAAATAATTAATATATTTGTTTGTATTCTATGCTTTTTTTTTCTTAGAAAAATTAAGATAATTTTGAAAACTCACTGTCGTATTATAATACGTTTGAGAACTCACCCTTTGGAAGAAATTTTAAGGATCTATAAGTTTGAAATTATTGCCTGCTGCAGATCATGGATGTCTCTTTAAGTTTGATTCATTAGGATAACAGCATGCTTCGGGAGATGATAATGTTTTGGGGCATGTATTCCAATAAATCATATTTACGAGGAGGTATTTGATTTCTCTCATTGTAACTACAAGGATATAATATGTGGGTCAAATTGCAGTTTTGACTTTTGGGAAAACATATCTTACTTAATCTGTGCATCATTTTGATATTTTAAAATGTTTCTTTTTATATAATTAAAATCATCCTAAAACACGTAATCAAGTGTTGTTCTGCACAAAGACTACGCATATACATGCAAACAGCAGAGATACAACTTCCCCACGCCACATGCCATAGATAACACGATTCAGAACATCGATGGGAATATCTGCAAAAAAAAAAAAAAATCTGGCGCTTTTCGTTTAAAGTACAACGGACATTTAATTTAAGCTCAACAATAAATTATTTTAAACTTTGTAAATTTTGCAAGATACTAAATTTTTGAGGTTAAATCGGTCCATTAGTTTACAAAAACTAGTAATATGTAAAATCCGGTAAAAATAGGATAAAAACTATACAAGATGGTGAAACTGAGAGGTTAGGATTAAGCCAGTTTTAAAATCTTTAGAAGTCAAAATGTTTAATTTGTTTTAGGGTAAAACTTCTCAGAAACTTTTTTTTTTCTTTTGTGTCAGTCAATAACTATTTCTTTATATATATATTATCTTATGATTAAGAGTCCATGATCTTAAACAATTGTTATTTCTCATATGTTTTTATTTCACTCTCCCAACTTTCAGTTTACTTATATAGTCTTTATTGTAATTTTTGACAATAATAATGACATATTTCTTATAATTATAATTACTTTTTTTTTTAATAAAAGACTTGTAATTATTAATATATTTATTTTGCTATTAGTGTATTGTTATATTATGAAACTTTATCTACCCCGATTAAACTTTTGAGTTTGGACTCATTTTTCCATCTATTCATTATTAAATGATTTATCTTATTTCAATAATATTAGCTAAAGTCATTTTACTCATGATGTTTGTTGGTGATTTTAAAAAAATGTATAAAAAATATTTTCAAAATTTTTGATGACAAAAATATTTTGGCATAAGATATAATAATTGTTTTAATTTCTATAATATGTGGTTCATTTTTTAGTTAGGTAACTTAACATGAACTAAAAAGTAAATTATCCAAATATTACAGAAAACAAGATAATAAATATTTTTTACAAAAATTATAATAGAATTATTAGAAACAAAATCAAAACTTTACAGAATCCATTTTTTTCCAATAAAAAACTATAGATTAAACATCATATTATATATTATATGAAAAGTGCATTTTATATATATATATATATATATATATATATATATATATATATATATATATATATATATATTCCAATACATTTATAACACTTATATCAGATAGATCCTAGACGGCATATTTTCCTTCTAAATAATTAACTGATAAAGTAAATTATGACGAAGATATTGGATAATAAGGTAAAAACATATTTGGAAAAGTGCATTAGAACATTTCTAAAAAAAATATAATAAAAATTGTTTAAAAATAAAATTAAATATTTTATTATAAATATTATGATTTAAAATTTTATCAGTGTTTATATAATTTTTTTAAATTTTAAACAAATTTTCTCATTTTTAAATAAATTAAACGTGAAATTTATAATAAAATATTTATTTTTATTCATAATCCCGTTAACATCTTTACTTAATAAATGTAAATAAAGGGTGAAGATCACGGCGTAAATTTATTCCACTTAATTAATGTTTGAAGTGTCTTTGCGTACTCCATATAACTTATTTCGACGAGAGAGAAGTGTATATATGGGGAATAAGCGTAACTTATATGAATAAGATGTTTCTCAAACAATTAACAAAAATGAACTATTAGAATAACTTAACGGAGAAGAAGAATTAAAATTTAAGTGTGCATTTCTGCTTAAGTTTTATTTTATATTTCCTTGTGTGTGGATATATAACAACTAAAACCATTTTACTTTTTTTTTCCTTAACTCTTAGAATGATTATTAACAATATATATATATTTTTTAAATAGATTAGTAATCTAACTTATTAGTAGCATAACTTATTAAGTCTTAACAAATAAAAATATGTTTTATAATATTCATATAAATAATTTCACATTATCCATCAGATAAAAAATTATTAAATATAGTCTTTTTTTTATCAATTTTATAATAATTAGTTTAAAACTGTACATAATATATATATATATATATATATATATATATATATATATATATATATATATATATATATTGAGACACATATTAATTCAAAATATAAAATATAAATTTTTTTAGTAGAGGAAAATATATTTATAAAAATTTAGGACTTTAAAAGTAAATAAAATATAAATCTATACTACTCTTAACTCTATACTAACTTTTATTAATGTATATCACATGAAAAATTTGATTGGTATAAACACAATAATCATTACAGTTAAAAACACATAAAAAATATGTAAGATAAGTTAGTAATTCAATTTAAGTATGCAAGATTCAAATGTGAAATAAAACAATATAATTCAACTTCAAATTTTCATATATTATATCACACGTTCATATTTTCAATATTCACATATGAATAAATAAATCAAGTATCATGACTATATTATAAATCAAGTGTCTAACATCTCACTGCATCTCACACTGAGTTTCATAATCACAAACACTTGACTCTACTTTCAGAAGACTTTTATGCATTGAATTAGACTCATAGATTTGCACCTATCACACTACCTCCTCTGAGTGGATATCTCCAACATAGGTACATAATTGGAACATGTTTCCTCATGTGACATGTTCCCATGACTTGCCAAATACTGTTCTTTTTCACACTACAAGAAGTCATAGAGACCTCCTTCAACTCTCACCATCTGATACTTTTCTTTACGTGAGTCCAGTATTAGTAGAGTTAGGATATCTCCTTCAGAATCTCAAATTCAATACATTACTTATATCTCAATATAGTATTTCCTTCTTGAAAACTACTATGTTAACTTCATCAATTCATTTAGATAATATACATATAAAGATAATACATGATATTTCTCACACTACAATAATATATTTTTCCTATACATATATTAGCACCCAACACATATTATTTCATGTTTATAACATATATTTTAATAGTTTAAGGCATATACACATCATTTCTCACATTATAACAAAACATAATTTTTTTCAAATTTGACTTCTACTTATTCTTTTCATCATAAATTTTTCTGTAGACATCCTTTTTAACTAATTTTTATTTTATTTGATTCCTTATTTTTTATTTTCATATATAGAAACTTAAATTTGGAGTTCATAACTAGTTTTTATGATTTTTCGAAAACTATTAAGCAAATCTAAAAGCACTAAGCAGATTTTAAAGCATTGAGCGTAAATTTTGACAGAATAAAACCTTCAAAACTCGTCCAAAATTCACTAGGCGATTTTAAAAGCACTGAGCGGATTGTAAACCTTTCAACATTGTCCAAAATTTGCTGAGCAATTTTGAAAGCGCTGAACGGATTACAAACGCTTTCAATATTGTCTTAAATTCGTTGAACCGGCTTTGAAAGCGCTAAGCGATTCCAAAGGCTTTCAACACTGGTCTTAAATTCGTTGAGCGATTTTGAAAACATTAATCGAATTGCAAAGGCTTTCAACACGATTTTAAATTCGCTGAAAGAAATTAAATCCACTAAGCGGATTCGTGACAATAGAGACTACATAATTTACACAATATCTTTTTTTAATGCTTCAAATCAAATTAATTATAAACCTTACCTTATTATTGTAAATCAATTTACTAATTTCAATCTAAGAGCAATACATTCATTCAAAAATCTAATATAAATTAATAATACATTCACATTCAAGTACAACCATCATCAATCAATACATATATAATCACATAATTCAGCTTACTAGAACTTAAATAATATGACCAAATCATCTTTACAATCCAGATCTTCTAGCTAGAGTACTATAAAAATTGAAGATTTATTAACTTCCCTTACCTTCTAGTTTTAGTGTTCTAAAGTTTGAAAGTTCCAAATCTTCAATTTCTTAGGGAGTTAGATCCTGCTCACAAAAAATCTCAATTAACAAATTGAACTTTTTATAATGTTCTTAAACTAGTCAAGATTCATATTTCTCTCATCAAGGTCACATGTAAGACTTTAATACTCACATGCAAATCTTAGCCTCAAAGTTGTAGAAATACTCTACAACTAGGAAAAAAAATGTATTCTATTTAAAATTCTAATAGAATGAAAATGTTCTAGTCACTGCTAGAAGTACAATGATATACTTGAATCTAAAAAAATATAAAAAGTTGGATAAAATGTTTTAAAGAAAAATAATAAGATTTAGAGTTTAAAAAGATAATGGTTCTTTAAAAATGAAATTTAAAATATAAATTTTTTATTTAAATTATTTTTATAATAAAGATAAAAACTTCAAATTTTATTTCATTTAATTATTATGTCAATCGTTACATCAAAGAAGGTAATTAATTTCGATTATTATATTTTAAACTTCATAGTTTTTAGTGTAAGCTAATTATATAATTTTTTAGGATATAAAGATGTATATAAAGTTACAGTCATCTACGTTAAAGGGGTCTCCCGAAGAGAATAGAAAGACATTGAAGATAAATGATGACTTTTCTCATCTCAGAAATTTTGAATATATTATTAGGGCACTTTTTCTTGTTAACTCGATCTGTAGTAGTGTCATTGGTAACATCCCATCTCCACGCTGCATCAAGCAATTCGAACATAGTAAGCCAACAAAACTATTAAAAACTTGAATCTCTCTTTGATACTCTTACTTATACTTTACATAAGTATTTTTAAAACTCTTTATTTAATCAAGCATTGACTTGAAATATATATATATATATATATATATATATATATATATATATATAACATTTATTTATATTTTTATAAATATAATAAAATTTAATAAATATATATTTATATCTTTCTATATAACATTTTTACATAAATAAATTATATATATTATTTAAATATATTTTTAATATAAAATAATTTTAATAAGTAAAAATAATATGTTTTTATAGAAATATATAAATATTTTTATATATTTTTACTATATTTATAAAAATATTTTAATAATATAATTATATAAATATATTTATATTTATTTTATATAATTATATAAATAAAAGTTAAATATATATATAATATTTATATTTAATTATTGTATTTAATAAATATTATTTTATTTTAAAATTTATATTAAGTAGTGAGATTGAAATTTAATCTCGTGAAAACTAAATCCCAACTGTGTATATAAAAAATATGCTAGATAAATATTAATAAAATATTAATTTTAAATTATAAATTTAATAATATATTAATTAAATATTGATAAAATAACATTATTTCTGAACTATAGATTTATCAGCATGCTGGAAAAAATCGCAATGCAACCTCATCTTCAAACGTATACCGCTTTCAAAAATCTCAATACGGTTAATGGCAGCCACTAATGATGCATACATGATTCAAAAGAATAAAGAATATGGCAGCAGTTACAGGGCAAAAATTTCCTCAAGAAAGAATTGCTTTAAGGGCATCCTTCACGTAAGAATATTTGAATGAGAAACCCAGCTTCTTAGCTTGAGTAGGAAGCACTCTCTGCCCTTCTAAAACCTACAAAGAGAAGAAGTCATGATAAAAGTTGAGTGAGGACAAGTTAACCAGAGATGATTCCTTACCACAGAAGCACCTTCTCCTAGGACAGCCTTGAGCGCAAAATCTGGTACCGGCAGCCATGAGGGACGACCCAAGACATGTCCCAGCTGGTCACACAATTCTGCCAATTTCACAGGATTTGGTGCAGTTCCATTGATAACACCTAAACAAGCATGATTCATGATAATGCAACAAGTTCACCAGTTAATTCAGATTAATCTCCATGAAATATAACCACATGAAATATATATCCATGATTTTTCCTTGACAATGTGTAGAGTAGCTAGGATAATCTCAAAAGGAATAACATAATTATCTGTGTAGAAATGTAATAGAAGGAAAATGGGTAATCCTATTACAAGAAGTGTATGCTATATCCAATATCCACTGTCCATTATTCATTTGCATTATTTTAAGAAGTCGATAAATTCGTTTTGGGGATATGGGAGTGAATAATTTACCTTTGTAAGATGGATTTGATAGCACTTCATATATTAAATTCACAATGTCATCCAAATGAATCCAGGAGAACCTGCCCGAAAGAATAAAATGAACTCAAGTACTCAATTATCACATTTATCATGAACTAATACAGACTACACCAGGTTGGAGTGGAAGTTGTTTTATCGACAGTGTATTAGAATGGGTTAAAAATAATACGAAGTATATCTCTTACAAGCGCAGGAAACTGAGTGAAATACCATTGTTTTCCAGAGCCTAAAGGTCCACCAGCAAACAAGTTGAAGAGAGGTATCATTTTAGCTGCAGAGACTCAAAGATATAATTGTCAGTTTAATCCAGACAAAATCATGAATTTCAATCGTTTGTAATCAGCTATAATTTCTTTATGACATTAAAAATGAAAAAACTTGGATTACAAAATATTTTTTGTTTCAAGAAAGAATCACTCCAATGATAAGCCCAAGGGGATAAGATAGTGTTGAATATAGAAGAAATAGAGTTTGGGATTAATCTCCCTTGTGTATAAATCACATATAGGGTAGTCTATTTATAGTAGAGAGATACAACTAAAAGAGTAATTGAAAGTAACAGAATAAACAGAAGATATTGTTTGATATTGTGGTTAACAATATCTTAACAATATCAAATAATATCTAAACAATATCTAACACTCCCCCTCAAGCTGGAGCATACAAATCGTATGTGTCAAGCTTGTTACAAATATAATCAATTCTAGGACTCCGTAAAGATTTAGTAAAAATATCTGCTAACTGATCACTTGAGTTAACAAACTCAGTCTTGATGTCTCCAGACATAATCTTTTCTCGAATGAAATGATAGTCAATCTCAATGTGTTTTGTCCTCTCATGAAAGACAGGATTAGAACTAATATGAAGAGCAGTCTAATTGTCACACACAAGTGACATTTGAGTGACATCTCCAAATTGTAGCTCTTTAAGTAATTGTTTGAGCCAAACAAGTTCACAAGCAGCTGAGGCCATAACTCTATATTCTACTTCTGCACTAGATCTTGCCACAACACTTTGTTTCTTACTTTTCCATGAAACCAAGTTACCACCAATAGAGACACAATATCCAGATGTAGATCTTCTATCCGAAGGAGATTCTGCCCAATCAGCATCTGAGTAGCAAACAACTCTTGTATGGTTATTAGAATCATATAACAATTCTTTTCCAGGAGATCCTTTAATATACTTTAAGATACGAATGATTGCATTCCAATGATCTTCACATGGGGAATTAAGAATTTGGCTTACCACACTGACTGCAAAGGAAATGTCAGGACGAGTAACTGTAAGATAATTCAATTTTTCAACCAATCTTCTATACTGCTCAGGATCAGGTATAAGCTCCCCCTGATTTGGTAGAAGTTTAGTATTGGGATTCATGGGCGTATCAACAGACTTTGAATTCATCAACCTAGTTTCCTCCAAAATATCCATGACATACTTCCTGTGAGATATAACAATACCATCATTGGACTGTGTCACCTCAACACCCAAGAAATATCTAAGTTTGCCAAGATCTTTGGTCTGAAAATGGTGACAAAGATGTTGTTTCAACTTAGAGATGTCATGGTTGTCACTACCTGTAAGAACGATGTCATCAACATATACTATCAAGTAAACACATCCAGCACTTGAATGTCGATAAAAGACAGAGTGATCTGCTTCATACTGAGTCATACCAAATTGTTGAACAACCTTGCTAAACTTTCCAAACCAGGCCCTAGGAGACTGTTTTAGGCCATATAGGGATTTGCGAAGACGACATACCATCCTAGAAGACTCCCCCTGAGCAACAAACCCAGGAGGTTGCTCCATATAGATTTCTTCTTGCAAATCACCATTGAGGAAAGCATTTTTAACATTTAGTTGATAAAGAGACCATTGTTGAAGAGTGGCCATGGCGATAAATAAAGGAACAGAAGTCATCTTTGCCACAGGGGAAAAGGTATCTCCATAATCCAACCCAAAAATTTGAGTATAACCTTTGGCCACAAGACGAGCTTTGAGGCGATCAATACTACCATCAGGTCCAACTTTGATAGCAAACACCCACTTGCAACCAACAACAGATTTCCCAGATGGTAACGAGACCAATTCCCAAGTTCCACTATTATGAAGAGCACTTAGTTCATCTAACATGGCCTGACACCAACCAGGATGGGCTAAAGCTTCACGGACAGTTTTTGGAATGGTCACAGAAGAAAGAGAGGAAAAACATGTATAAAAAGGTAATGACAGTCGATGATAACTCAAACCAATATAATGGGGAGAGGGATTACGTGTAGAACGGATACCTTTTCGGAGGGCAATGGGAAGGTCACACTCAGGTGTCACATCCGGAGGAGACAGAGTAGTTGGCACTTGAGTAGAGTCACATGGTGGTGGTTGTGATTGGTTTCGGCAACTATAAACCTGAAGAGGCAGTGAAAAAGAAGCTGACTGCGGAGTAGAAACTAATGGTGAAGAAGACACAGTTAGAGGGTCACAAACAACAGGAACATTAAATGTACTAGGAGTGTTGACAAGATTGGATGCATAAAGAGGTGAAGATTGACTTTTAAAATAAAAAGAGAACTCATCAAAGATGACATCTGCAGACACAAAATAACGGTTAAGAGAAGGAGAAAAACATTTGTATCCTTTTTGTGATCTTGTAAACCCTAAGAAAACACATTTATGTGATCTAGGAGAAAGCTTGTCAAGACCAAAACTGAAATTATGAACAAAACATGTAGACCCGAAAACTTTTAGAGGTAAGGGATGAAGTGGTTCATGAGGGAATAAAATGGAATGAGGTATTTTATTATCTAAAATCGAATATGGCATGCGATTAACAAGATAACATGCAGTAAGAAGAGCATCACCCCAAAAATGCTGAGAAACCTCTCCATGAATTAAAAGAGTGCGAGTTGTTTCAATAAGATGTCTATTTTTACGTTCAGCTACACCATTTTGTTAAGGTGTATAAGCACAAGAAGTTTGATGTAAAATACTATGAGAAGCCATGAATTGTTTAAAAGAATGAGAAAGATATTCACAACCATTATCACTGCGCAAAACTCTAATAGAAACACCGAACTAAGTTTGAATTTTATTGAAAAAAGTTTGAAAGATATGAAATAATTCAGAACGATTTTTCATCAAAAATAACCAAGTGCATCTGGAATAATCATCAATGAAAGTAACAAAGTATTGAAAACCTAAAGTAGACTTAACGCGGCTAGGCCCCCAAATGTCAGAGTGAACCACGGCAAAAGGGGACGAAGCACCACGTGTGACACTACGAGGAAAGGAAGTACGACTATGCTTACCTAATTGACACGACTCACATGCCAAACTAGACAATTTAGATAAGGCAGGGACAAGTTGCTGTAACTTGGCAAGACTTTGATGACCTAACTGAGCATGGAGAAGAGAGGGAGACTCTATAACTGCACCAACATGTGTAAAGGGACGAAGATGATAAAGACCATGAGACTCACATCTTGTGCCAATCACCTGTTTCGAACTCCGGTCCCGTAAACACACGTAATTGTTGGTAAAAGAAACAACACAATCAAGAGAACGAGTTAGACGATCGATGGATAACAGGTTAAAAGGAGACCCAGGGACATAAAGAACATTATCAATGGTTAAAGAAGGGAAAAGTTTAACAGCTTCCAACACCATGAGATGATACTCTAGAGTCATCGACTAGTGTAACAAAAGGTAAAGGATTAGGAGAGGATAAAGAGGAGAACAAATATTTGTTACCAGTAATATGATCGATGGCTCCTGAATCAAAAACCCAAGGACCAGAAGAAGATTGGGTCGACCAAACAAAAGATGTACCTGTGTGTGCAACAGACACAGTGGAACTAGAAGACTGTTGATCCTTATACCATTTGAGAAATTTGTTGAACATAGCAGGTGTGTATGATGAAATAGAAGGAGGATCCTTAGCAGATAAAGGTGGAGAAAGATCAGTCTGAGCAACTGCAGCAGATCGAGGAGGACGACTATGTAATGCATAACACTTGTCAATCTTGTGACCTAGTTTGCCACAATGTTCACACTCATGTAATGCATAACACTGGTCAATCTTGTGACCTAGCTTGCCACAATGTTCACACTTAGGACGCCTTTTTCTCTGTTTGCGAGGGCGAGTTCGGTCATCACAGTGAGATACCAATGCAGAAACATGTGTGTCAGGGTTGGGTTTTGCTGGTATACGCAAAAGAGTGGAGCAGGTCGATGTCAAGGTGGGGACAACCGGAGAATCCAAAATCTCGATCGAAGCAAGTCCGTGTAATGCCCCTAACATGAAGAACTTTGATCGTTGTCCTATCTCGTAGTGGTGGTCAGGGGAAGGAGGCAATAACTCATTGAACTCATGAAAAAGAGCATGAATTTTGCTCATATAATCAGTCATAGAATCTTGATATTTAGAGGCAATAACATCTACAAATTTAGAACAGACATCATAGAGACGTTGAGTATCATTGGTGTATAATAACTTGGCATGTTCCCAGATTTTGGCACATGTTTCGTAGGAACGAAAAAATTTGTTTTAACGAAGGATCAAGAGTACCCTTGAGAACCACACATAATTGAGCATCAATGGTGTCCCAATGGTCTTCCTCACCAGGAGTGAGAGTAGGTGCTTTCGGGGCGAGATGATCAAGATACTTTTGACTCTTAAGCCATAATCTGACGTCTGATGACCATGTGGCATAATTAGGGCCAGTTAACTTGTCAATGGATAAGTGCACATTAACATAGTTAGTGTAGATGGAAGGATCAAACGCAGTATTGACAAAATTGGAAGTACTAAAAGGAGCGGAAGAAGTCATAAAGGACGGAGGCGTGAACCAGTACACCAGGTAAGTTTCCAGGAAAGAAAGGTGGGTCACTAATGGACACGCTTAAATACCAAGTCTTTCCTTGTCAGAACTTTCCTAGACATGTACTTTCACATTACCAAATAACCGACAGCGATAGCGGCGGTGGTGACGGCTTCAATAGTGGTCAAAGGCGAAAAAAAATTTCAAAATAACCTTAAGCTCTGATACCATGTTGAATATAGAAGAAATAGAGTTTGAGATTAATCTTCCTTGTGTATAAATCACACATAGGGTAGTCTATTTATAGTAGAGAGATACAACTAAAAGAGTAACTGAAAGTAATAGAATAAACAGAAGATATTGTTTGATATTGTGGTTAACAATATCTAACAATATTTTAACAATATTAAATAATATCTAAACAATATCTAACAGATAGGATGTCAAATATTGTATTTAAGTCCATAATTATGTAGCTTAGAAGTCATACCTAGTGCTCCACCATCTTTACCAAGAACAACTCCAATGCGAATTAGAGTCAGTCTAACATCTCCGTTTACCTTCAGGGCTGTGGATTCCCATTCCCTACAAACCTGTACAGAAGGGGCATTTTTTGTCAATGCAATCTTGAAGCTACATTTGTACATTATCCATATTTTTGAATAACATCTCCGAGGGAAAGAAAGTTAGACAAAAGTAGCTCCAATCTTTCATAACCAGTGTCTTCTACGGGTGTCAATTCGAGTCGGATTAGGTTGAAAAAATTTAAAAATGTTGAATAGTAAGTTAAAACAAGCCTGACTCATTTAACATGTGGGTTAAACGGTTCAAGCTGAATTGGTGGTACCAATCTTTAATATTTTAATTTTTCCTATCCATGTGTTAGTGTAAATACATCAAGAAAAAAAATATTTTAAAAAGTCAATCCACTTAACTAACTTATGTTAATAAGTCAACTCACCTAATTCACTTATGTTAGTAAATAAACCCACCAAACCCACCTATTTTAATAATTTAAAAAGATAAAAAATAATTTAGAGAAAATACAAATATAAGTAGGTCAACCTACCAACTCGTGGTGGGTCAAGCTGGACCGTAAAATTTTTAACTCACCAAAAAATGAGTCAGATTGAGTTGACTTATGTTCAACGTAACCCGTGGTGAGTCAACCCGTCTGAGTTGGATTAGCTAACTTTGACACTCCTACTGCCTTCATTTATACTTGTATAGTCTCCAAAAAAAATTGTAGAATTTGGGTCCTTTAGATTTTAAAATCTTAATATTTTTCTCTTTAGATTTTAAATATTATATTTTTTTTACAATAGTAACAAAAACATGCATTTTTTTTCCTTGCCTCAGCCAAATAATCTTTTCCTGATGGACTTTGTTCATCAAAGACTTGTGTCTCACTGGTACCTGAACATATTAAAGTAATGCATAGTTATGTTATTAAACAGTCAGTGGTCATAAAACATGCTATAGAAATAATTGCATTTGCTAACCAATGTATTAAGCAACCAATCATAATATTGATTACCAAGCAGGAGAATGATCAATTAGTATTGAACCATTTCTGGCATATAAACATACCATAATAACCAACAGCTGTTGCACTAACAAGAACTTTAGGTCGAATTTCAGCTGGTGCACTGTTAATCAACTCTACAATCTTTGCTACGAAATAAATAGGTCAGGAAGAATTAGCGGTTTGCATAAATAACAGAATATATTTGATTTCATTTTTGTCAATGAGAAATGTATGCTTACCTTTGAGGTCACTCTAATCCTGCTTTGCTTGATTTCCTTCTTTATCTGCAGCATTAAAATGTATGTTACTCATTTTAAGTTATGCATGAGCTGTTTTACCAATATAAAAAAGAGCCAGAAAAATAGACAGTGTATATGTACTTATGGTCAGTTACTTCCTCTAATAAATAATGTTCAGAAGTTTTCGACTTACAACAGTATCAAGATAGCAAAAGTTTCCAAATATACACCAATATATTATTTATAATTTCAGAATTTTGGATATAACAAAGTCGTATGTAAATTTTCTTATTCCAATAAAATTTATAAAAAAATGTAAATGAGGCATTTCCAGCACAACTAGAAAAGAAAAACATACACTGGCAATACGCAAACTACAAGTCAAATTAGCCTGAACAGAGACAAGACCAAAACATTAAAGAAAGATACCTAATAAGTCTTAATAACCACCAAATAGGTATAAGTTGAAATCTAAATCATTTAAGTGGTGGAAGTGATAAGAACATGGCAATAACCTCAGGAGCCCATCGGGTACTTATGGGTAGTCCAGCCAAATTCACAACCCCCGTAGAGCCCTGAATGCTATCTTTCCATTCTGGCCCTTCTGCAATCTTGATTCCAGGAAAGTCTTTTGCTGTGGATACCAAGCCATAAGTAACCAATTAATGCAAAGTGTAGTATATGTCTGACTGAGTCAGATTGTCAAGAAAATTATTAAATTTTCTACCACTATGAGAAAAATAAAACTAGAATTTTAAAACCGGAGGAATCCACATTATGTATGAATTTGAAACTTTTAATAATTTAGAAATTGAAGGTACTCTGCTGTAATTGCAGTTGATGCCCCACTCTCATCTCTTGAAAGGGTTTGCAGTTGTGAAAAAGTTTGTCAGTATTCTTTTGTAAGTGTTAGTACACATTTATAGCATTAATTTATTACCTTCTTACCCGGAAAAATTGTTTCTGCTTTAGATTTAGATCGCGTCAAGACATGAACACAATGATTGTCTGCAAATATTGTTATTTGACACAGCAAGTTAGCGTAAATGTTTACACATATACCCACAGAGGCTTAGAATTTAATTGATGAAAAATAGCCAAGCAAGAGTCTAACAAAATCCAGGGGTGGAACTGATTCATCACAAAGGGTAAGTGGGTAACGTAACGATATCAGAAAGCAACATAGTCCTTAAGATGCAACTATGTACGTTCGTTTTGCTTAAATTTTGCAAACTACGAGGATAACTGTGAGAAATCTAGATGTACTAGAGAGCATTAGGAAAATACAACCACGATGCATTTTAGAGTAAAATTTATGCAGGATTGAAATGGCTGAAATCTACATGTAAATGGAACACTAGGAACATGCTGCATATCATATCATAAAACATATACAAATGTGCGCTTATTAAGCTAGAGGATGGCATAACCTGCATGGAGTTTTTGCACCAACCTTCTACCAATAAAACCTGTTGCTCCAGTTACAGATATGATCATTTTATTTCCCTGCAAAAACATTCTTACATAAGCCTAAACTGAATAACCAGTTAGAACAGGCAAAACTGATAACAGTTAAATAACATTCTTAATGTGCAAATTACCAATGTAATGATGTTTAACAAAAAGCATGCTTCCCGGACTTATAGAAGCAATCTTGTGAAGCTTAAAAGTCAATATTAGTTAGTAGTAACACTTAACAAGTTATACAAAGTTGCACAACTCATCCCTCCTCAATTTTTGGCTAGTAATCAGTTGTGAGGTTGAAAGGTGGGAATCTTAAAGATTGTAATACCACCTGCTAGGCCAGAGAAGGGTATAACCTGGACTGTAATAATCACAGGTGTCACTCTAATTTAGAACAAAAAGAGCTATCAATCCTAGCCCGAATCAGGTTTCCTAAAGCAAGATCCAGAAAAGCCAAACTTAATTATTGGCACACAAAAGTAACAACTAGAACCGCCCCATATTGGGTTTAGAGAAATAATACATGAAACTAAATTAAAACTGAAATAAAATATATAATGCGGAACACATATGAGGGGGAACCATGGAAAAAAGTAAGAGAAAATTTCATTACTTCATTTAAGCTATAGTCTCTCTGAGAAGTGGAACACCTCAACATGAGACAAAAGTTAGAAATGGAATGAGCTATGAATGGGTAAGAAATACCTTGGCATCTTGATCGGTGACACACCAAACGCTGAAGCTCCTAGGCTCTCTGGTCTAGTAAAATGGAAGGAATGGGTATGCATAATAATAAGTGAGGAATGAAAAAAGGTGAGAAGGGAAAAGGTTGGTTCAGTGAATGAGCTTACAGGGAGGGATCGAGGAAGGTGAAACGATGGAGAGATGGTGTGAGACCATGTAAGCGCAGTGGCTCCACACATTTCCATTAGGATTCAGAGAGAGTGGTAGCAGCAACGTGAAGCGTGTGTTAATGAACTATTCATTCATATTCTTACTCTCGTCGTGGTTTATTTGGAGCCACACCAACACCCTTTCTCATATCCATTCATCACTTGGTTGTTCTCTCGATCCCCTTTGAGTTCTTATTGGACCATACTCACCACAGTTCTTACTTACACTAACCCTTGTCCACCAAATTGTTATTGTAATCTACGAGAGTGGTTTAGGATGAATACGAGAATCAAAACTTAAATATCTCAATGGAATGAACCTTACTAAAATCATAAATTTTACGTTTTATTTTTTATAAAAAATTTACCATAAAAGGGATTTGTATTTGATTTCTGGTGTTAGATTTGTTTAGTTAGCTTAGTTCTGATACTCAGTTAATTTTCATGACATTATTTAAAATTTTTATCCATATATTATTATTATTATTTCTTTTGCTTTAAAAAAAATCCTAGTATATTTATTAAATTTTATGTTAGACTCTCTTCATTTAAAAAAAAAAAAGTGAATTGTATGAATTTGATTTAAATGATTTTGGAAGATTAGTTAGATAAGTGTTAAAGGTTAAAAAAAGATTGTGATGTGAAAAGAAAATGACTGAACTGTGTAAAGACAAATTATTCGAAAAATTATTATATTTAAATATATATATATATATATATATATATATATATATATATATATGACAATTTTGCATTATATAAAAAAATAATTTTTATCATATTAGCAATTTAATTATAAATACATATAATTTTTTATTATTATATTTTTATTGAATCAAATAGCCTCATTTACTACCTGTTTTTTTTTAAATCAGTTCAATTCTATTCACACTCTCCCGAACCAAAGATTTTTTTTGTTTTTTCTTAAGTAATAGGTTTTTTTAACTGTTTTTAAAAATAATTTTCAACTATTTAGTTATTAAAAATTAAAAAATTTGTTTGATCATTATTTTTATTAAAGTTTATTTTTTAGTTTAAAAATTAAAAATCAAAATTAATAAAAAATATTTTTATTTTAGATATCAATTATTCATAATAATTATATTAAATCATTCATTTTCATAACTATAAACTTATCAAAAACTATAAACTAATCAAAATCTTGTTCAAACTTTTACCATGTTTTTTTTTATATAATTATTTATGTCATTTTCATTTGTCTAAAAATAAAATTATCAAACATTTTTTTCTTAACTTATTTTTAAAGTTGATTTCTAAAATCATTTTTAAAATTTAATACACAAAATAAATCAAATAAATTCTAAGGTTTTTTCTTCTTTTTTTAAACTTTTGTATGAATTAAGTTAAAACAGAGGTATACTTAATTGTTGATACAATTAGCCATATTTGGTAATTGGGATTGTGTCACACAATACTATATAACAGCACTTATTCGAAATTACCCTTATAGTTTTCAGTTTTGAAATTATTTCCGGATCCAATCTCAGATAGAAGAAGAAAAAAAAAACTAAAAGAACAGATAATATTGAACGCATCATAATCCTTAGAACAATTGTCAATGCCAGAGGAATGACTTTTGAATTAATAGAAACAATACACAAAAGTGAAACAAAGTACTTACTCTCAGTATTGACAAATTTCGACAGTATAATTAATTCAATCAACTCAAGTTAAAAAGAGTTAGGGTTGGCAACCAGCACACTCTTGACTTTTTTTTTTCAATTATTATCTTTGAAACGCTTAAAATAGAATAAGACGGGTACACGTTATATGGATGAATTAACAGGTCAGTTTTTTAATATTTTTATATAAAATTTTATTATATGTATTTTTTTAAAATATATTTTTTAAATGTTTTATTTATTAATTAATATTTTTATTAAATAAATTAAAAATTTATTACATTTATATATTAAAATTTTTATTTATAATAATTTTAATTTAATTAATATTTATTATAATATTAATATATATATATATATATATTAATAATATAAGAAAATATTTTTAATTATAATCTTTTTATTTTATTTTTAATATAAATTCTTTTAAATTAATTTTCATCGAAGTGACGAGTTAAATAAGATGGATAATTACTAACAAATTCTATCAATTTTAGGTGGGCTGTTAATTTGTCCAAAGATAAATAGGATGTTAATTTGTCAAAAGAACCAACTTCGTAATTTACAAAGATAATCCTAAATTTGAAAAAATAAAGGACAAATAATACAAGAGTACTAACAAAAAATGGTAGCCAAAATGTGCTACACGTGACTAGGGAGCATTGTTATAAGAAAAGTATCCGAACCTAATTATGGTTCCTCTGGGGCCACGTATGTCATTTACGAGTGAGAGATTCAGAAAAAAAAAAAAAAAAGGAGGTTTGAAGAAGAAAGATCAATTCTCAAGATCACTGCTTCTCTCTGTGATCATTCATAACACTCTTAAATTCTGGATATCTCTATATATTATTGTATTTTTTCCAACAATTTAAGATAACATTATTTGCTCCTTCAATTCTTGTAAAAATGTAAAAATGTTTCTCTGAAACTGATAAAATAAATTATTCTAATCATTAGATCAAGAGAAGATAAATGACGAAGATAGTCCTATTGTAGTAAGTAAATCCCTTATACATGTAATGCTCTTAATTTAATGTAGAAATAATAAAATTCTTATATTACAGCTCATTTAATGATTTCGATGTATTTCTTGTAGGAAAAAACAATACCTCATTCAAAATTAGTCCACTGATAAGTTCCCTCATCCAATTTAATTAATGATGCGAGTTCATTTCAAATTCCCTTCTTGCTTCAACAATCAGAGGACTCAAATAATATTAGAATACTCAAAATGCTCTTTTTATTGAGAACATCCATGTGGATTCAGATTATACAACTGATCAAAACACTAGGCAACGTTTAGCCATACCAGCATCCAATATTAAAAGACTCATCAATACAAATAAATTACAATGGCAGCAGCAAAACAAATTTAAGACTAAGATTATATGGCACAGGGAAAAAAGAAGCTTAGGAAGCTTTATTAAGCAAAGAAAGACTACACTTATACAAACACAAAAATGACTGGTGCAGCTACTGCTAGTATGTGCTAAATCCTGAAAGTGGCGTCCCAACATCACTAACCTCCACAATGAACAATTTACCCCCTCACCCTCATAATAAGAAGGTTAAAACAGATGGGAGATCAAAGAATATTTTGCAGCACATCTTTCTTAATCAGCTCTAGACTGACCAGCACGAGAAGACAGGATAATACCAACAATGAGACCATACAGGGCAAGAGCTTCAGCAAAGATGAGGATGAGAATCATTCCAACAAAAAGCTTTGGTTGCTGTGCATTGGCTCTGCAGAAGAAGATTAATTGTTTAAAGCAACAATTTTATAAGGATTCATTATAAAAGCTATATCCCTGTATCAAACTAACAGCACATCTACATTCCATCAAGGATAACATGATAAAAAATGTCCACTGATTGAAAGCAAAGCTATTGCATTAAGTATCACAGTGAAATCTATTTCAGAATAAGTCAAAACAGGTGGAATAAAAAAGGTGGCAAAATGAGTATCAACTTTAATCATAAGATCAGATACTAAGATAGAAGAATAATACCTAACACCAGCGTCACCAACAATACCAATAGCCATGCCAGCAGAGAGCCCAGCCAGTCCACAGGCAAGACCAGAGGAGAGATGTGCATAACCATCGAAGAGGTAATAAGACTTGGCCTTGGGATTAATGCCAGTACTGATAATAACAGCAATAATAAGACCATAAATACCCAAAACTCCAGCCATAACAACCGGGACAATAGACTTCATCACCAGCTCCGGTCTCATCACACCCATCGAAGCCACGCCCACACCACTCTTTGCTGTGCCATATGCAGCTCCCATACCTTCCTCCGTCAATTCAAACAACTCTTAGTAATCTAAAGAGATTGCAGAGCAAACAAAAAACATCACAATTCCTTTTTCTACGTTTACATAGACAACTATTCAAGTTCTTCTATCAATCAATTTCAAGAATCAAAACAACGTGAACCAAATTCAATATACTTGTTTAGTTCACTGAGTGCCAATCTATTCTGTATCGATCATCAACCTATATCTACAAGAAAACTCCAGTGTTTACATGCAAAACAAAATCCACGATTTGAAGTTATGTCATTAAATCCAACAAAACAATTGAATCACAGAAACTACCGAAGAACAACGGAATCAACAACCATGACATATACTGTTTACTTTTTTTTTTCTTTCATCCAGGGATCAAATTGCGCATAGGACAACAAAATTACCTTATAAGTTAAAACTCAAAAGAGATCATGCAACTAAAAACATAGATCTAATTGAGAAATTAGGGATTGAATTACAGGAGAAGACGAGCGCAGCTGCGGCTCCGAGGAAGCCGAAAAACGGTGCCGTCTCATCACCGCTGAACGAAGCCATTATCACTGCAACGACGTCGAATGGATCCGATCTTAGAAGTGAGATATTTCGATTTCCGCACAGAGAAGTTTCACGTTCCGATCTCTGTTACCGTACAGTGTGGAGAGGAAGGAACTATTTCCTTTATTTTATAGTTAGTTAACTACATTCCGGTGCCCCAACTGGACCGGGTACATACTAACCCGAACCGAATTCAAGCGGCCCAGCCCAGTTGTCATAACATCGTGCTTTTATTGGAGTGAGATTCCCCAGTTCAAGTGGGCTTTCTTTTATGATAAGTTTGCGCTTTTACGGACAGTGGCCCAAAGTTGGAGCATAAGAGATCACGATAAAAATCATGAAGTAGCAGAGGTAAGTGGAGGTGGAAGAGAAGAAAAGCATGGCAATAACGCTCAACAATGGCTTCAAGATGCCCATCATCGGATTGGGTGTGTGGCGCATGGAAGGAAAACAAATCAAAGACTTAATTCTCAATTCCATCAAAATTGGTTATCGCCATTTTGATAGTGCTGGTATTCTATTTTTCCAATTTTAGCATATTTCTTTTGTTTTGCTTTCATTCTTAATCTACTTTGGATTCTTCTTCCTTTTTTGGCATTTTTATTCTCGATTTACAAAGAAACAATTTTGTTCGAGCTGTGGGACCATTATAAGACAAAATTCTTCTCGAATATTTAACAGAATTGTTTTGCAGAATTCGATTTGAACCCAAAATCACTAATTAAACCTAAATAATTTACTTAGGTTGATGCAAGCGGTTGATGTTCTTTTTGTGCAGATTAAAAGTATCAAATCAAAACGATTAGTTGTCCCGAAATGGATGATGATTAGAAGTTACTTTTTTTTCTCCTGTTATCCCTTTTATACTGTTGGACTAACCCCACCAAAACTTGTTGATTAATTAATGTCAAATTATAACTTTTCGTTGATGCGTTGACTTGGTGATGTGTGGATAAGCACATGTTGGTTGACGAGATTTGGATGCGTTGTTGCAGCTGACTACAAGAACGAAGCAGAAGTTGGAGAGGCGCTTAAGGAGGCTTTTGACAGTGGCCTTGTGAAGAGGGAGGACCTTTTCATTACCACCAAAGTTAGTTTCACAATAATTCCTGTGGACATGTTCTGTGACTTGTGTAGGTGATGATGGTAATGGTAAATGTTCTGATTCAGATAATTACGTTCTTACCCTTTGCTGTTGAATCTGCTTTCAGCTTTGGAATTCAGATCATGGACACGTTCTTGAGGCATGTAAAGACAGTCTCAAGAAGCTTCAGTTAACCTATCTAGATTTATATCTCGTTCACTTTCCTATTGCCGTAAGGCATACTGGTATGTTCCTTTTTTTTTGCACCCCTTGAATTATCTTTCTATGCATGTATAGTTACAACTATAACTATCACTGATAAACGAGTGTTCTGACCGAGCAGTGTTTCAATATTTACACGGAAAATCCAGACGAACTTCAATTGTACAAACGATATCAGATATATACATGAATACTTGTTCTTTGTTACTTTGTTTTAATGTATACTTTATAAGCTGCCTACTTTACAAAATTAGCTCATTTTTTATTTTATTTTTTTGGAATTGTTAACAGTGATTTGATGCACATTTGAATGCCTTTAATGTAATTCTCACATATTGCACATACATTCAGGGGTTGGTAATACCTCTAGTCCTTTGGATGATGATGCAATCCTGGACATAGATACCACCATATCCCTGGAAGCTACCTGGCATGCGATGGAAGATCTTGTTTCATCGGGCTTGGTTCGCAGCATAGGGATCAGGTGCAATTTGATTAAGTAAACAATCTTTGCTATGTTCTCTAGTAGGTACCCAAAAATCTTTTTTTTTTTTTTTACTACACTTTATGCACAAGTTTTGTCCAGTTATTTAGAAACAGCAAAATCAATAATGAAGAAAGATAAAACAAACAGCCTTGTCAAGTTCACGAGTGACATGTACACAGCCTCTCATTAGTCACTTGTCACATGATTTTAAATGTAGTTCCAACTCCTGCATGAAAGTTTATATTATTTGGGGGATGTTAAAAGACTTGTAACCGAGTCTCTTTGCATGATCCATCTTCTCATTCTAATGGTCCCTCCAAGTAATAAAGCTATTAAACTGTATTGACTAGTATGATTCACATTTAAGATTCTTTATGCTGTGATATGAATCTGATTGTTGGGTCTCCACCATGCCAGTTTGTTCACCCTTGTCTCATGTTTCAGGTAACCCTTAGCTAGTTTAACAAGACACTAATATAGTTTATTTCTGTTAGACTCATATACCATAATGAAAGAGGAATGTATTGGATAACCCATCTATCTGTGATTTAATGGTCTAGATCTTCCTTGTATTGACTTGAGAAATGCTTGATTCTTTTTATTGAAATTGCATTCTGACAAAAGAACTGTTTGCAGCAACTACGATATCTTTCTGACAAGAGATTGTTTAGCATATGCCAAGATAAAACCTGCTGTAAATCAGTTTGAAACCCATCCATACTTCCAGCGTGAGTCTCTTGTCAAGTTTTGCCAGAAGCATGGGATTTGTGTCACTGCGCACACTCCACTAGGAGGTGCTGCAGCAAATGCTGAATGGTTTGGTACAGTTTCATGTTTGGATGACAAAGTTCTCAAAGTGAGTTATCAATACTAGCTTCCGAGCACAATGTTATTAACTTACCATAACTGCCTGGCATTGTGTATCCAGAAACAGTTTCATGGAGTTGATTAATTTGAGGAGGTTGTACTATTTTCTTTGATTTCAGGATCTGTCTGAAAAATACAAGAAGACTGCCGCCCAGATTGCTCTTCGCTGGGGCATTCAGAGGAACACTGTGGTCATTCCTAAATCATCAAAAGTGGAGAGGTTGAAGGAGAACTTTCAGGTTTTTGATTTTAAGTTGTCTAAAGAGGACATGAAGCTCATTAGAGATCTAGATAAACAATATCGAACTAATCAACCAGCTGCGTTTTGGGGCATAAATCTGTTTGCGTGAGAATAATAATCCTAAGAGTGTATCATGATCCTCCAAATATGCAAAAATATATAGGCTATTGGACCTAAGACTTTGTGTTGACATTCAGAGATGGTATAAACTTGAGGCTTGTTGTTAGTTCGTTGGATTTGATCATGTAAACTCCTGATGTTCAAAAATTATCTTTTTAGCCATTTAGTCAATTTGTTTGTCCATTTATTTACTCCTTTTCCTTATACGTCCGTTATAGTTGGGAGGCTTCGAAAATTGGAAATTTCAATTGACAACTTTCTGAAATATAGAAATACAGTTATAAAATTTGTTCAATTCGATTTTATCAGGCTAAAACGTGAACATAAATGTGAATATTGTGCTCGTGAGTTTCCCTATAGAACAAATACAGCACAAACCACTCATTATAGATAAAATCCAATTAAACTAATTTTAAATGTATTACATTACTGTAAATGTAATATATTAGTCTTAACATTATATTTAATTAAATTCTATTTTTTGTTTAAATGTATAAAATAAAATTAAAGAAATATTTTTGTTTTAAATTAATCAAATTTAAATAGTATTCTATTAAACCTGGTTCAGCCCTTGTAGCGAACTGATCACCTGACTCAAGTAAAGTTAAATAAAACAAAATTAAGAAAAAATTGGGAATTAACAAAAGATTTGAAACCATGACTTCCTGGTAAGATAACAAAATAACAACTATTAGGCTGAATCAAATATTAAATATTTACATATAATAAATATAATTTAAATATACATCTATCTCATATCGTTTATTTTGTTTCGCTACCTTGTATCGTTTAGTTTATATTTATATTTTTACTTATTAATTTACTAAGTTGTATTTTAACGTTTTTTAACGACTGAGCACCAGTAAAGAATACCTATCTAAGAATTGATCTTAACCATAATACTATCGTAGTTTTTTCATATAAAAAAACATTTATATATATATATATATATATATATATATATATATATATATATATAATATACTAATTCAATGTTTTATTAAATTATTAAACAAAACTATTTTTAGATAAAAAAATATATTTTATTATTTCATATATAGAAACTTGGTAATAAGTTAAAAGATTAATTTATAAACATATTTTGAATTTTATAATGTAAAGATACATATATTTTTTTAATATTATTAACATTGAGTAGTTTAATTTTTTGTTGTTGGTAGACTTATGATTTTATATTTTAATAAGAGAATATATTTTGTAAAATTTTATTTTAAATTTAAAATTAGTTAGCCTATCAAATTATGAAGCATATATTTAATTATGCAGTAACCAAACCAAATTGACAGTTAATTTTAATTTTGTTTTTAGAAAAACTAGTATCTTTAAAAGGAAATGAGAAAATATGACATGTAACATATATTTATATAATTGATTAGGTTATAAATTGAAAAATATTAAAAAGAAAAATTATACTAATAAATAATTTTAAAATACTAAATAATAAATAAAATCATTGAAAGTAAATCAATTTATTTTATTCTTTATTTATTTCCTTTTATTTCTATTCTTTTTATTCTTTTTCTTTAATCAAACAATCTTATTTTCTATTATCTTTCTCTTTACTTTTTTTAATTGATACAAAATCTAAAAATTAGAGATTTATTTTTTATCTTTATTATTCCAATTTTTTTTTAAATTTAATGGTCTAAAATAATAACACTTGTTAATCATTAAACTTTGAAAAAGTATAACTAAAAAAAAATCACTTATTCTACTAATGTAAGTTAAATTTTTTTATCTCTACTATTCATTAATAATTTAACGATTAAGTCTGAATATTATTTTCTATAAAATGGACAAAAATTAGGAAAAGAATAAGATTTTTTTTTACTCTTACTCTTTCAATGAATTAATCTATTCTTATATATATATATATATATGTGATATGAATCACAAAGGGGTAATTTAGGATCTTTAGGGTTAGAACCTTGTAAGAAATTTAGGAATTAGAAAGAAGGTGGAAGGAAAGAATCACTCTTCCCAAGGAAGGCAACACACAAAGGATGTGAAAGTCCTTTGATACAGCCAAGGGTTCTTGAATCACTCAAGAATTTAGGAGAATCACTCTCACTAAGATAAAAGAGATAAACTCTAATATTTCTGAATAAAATTTCACTTTTTTTTTTCTTGATAAGAATGGTTCAGCTGATATAGAAGCGTTGCCATCAGAATTACAAAAGACTCAATAAAAGAAAATAAATATTAATAATAACCCATTAATCTAGGAATTGAAAACTATTTAATAGAAACAAATAAGGCTAATAATGATCCATTAACCTAGGAATTGAAACTACTTAATGACTGATTGTATCCGAAACTGTGGCAACCAAAAGTCAATCAGTTATGCACCCCTTGGTCTCCCAAAGGCTGATGACTAAATTTTCAATTGGGCCCTTATTACAACTTAAAACAAAATCAAACTAAAGCCCATTAATTGATTAATCCAAAACACAATTTGGTCAACCAACAATACTTGTTGAAGAGCTTCCTTTGTTCCCCTTGCTCTAGCCCTTATCATAGGTTATGTTCACATCATTCTCTCCCTCTTGAAAAGGATTTGTCCTCAAATCGGATTCGTCATCTACATTAAAAAGAGATAAGTCTGACAAATTAAATGTAGAACAAACATTATACTCACTTTTTATGGTTAAATAACTCTGTTTCACTTCAAGTGTTTCACTCTTCTTTTGATCACTCTTTTTCCTCTCAAGTGTTTCACTAACGCTTTCTTTCTCTCTCTTTTCTTGAAGAAGTTTTTCTTTCATTTTCTTTTTATCCTCACATACTTCTTGTGGACTCAAAGGTTTGAGCACAATCTTCTTGTCTTGGTGTATGAAAGAAATATTGTTGGTGAACCCGTTATGATTAACTCTTTTATCAAATTGTCATGGTCTCCCCAAAAGTAAATGACTGACTTCCATAGGAATAATATCACAAAGCACCTTATCATTGTATTTTCCAATGGAAATGTCCACTTCAACTTGTTGTCTCACTTGCACCTCTCCATCCTTACTAAGTCATTGAAGTTTATATGGCCTAGGATGTGGTTTGGTAGCTAAATTTAGCTTTGATACTAATCTAGCACTAGCCACATTGGTGCAACTACCTCCATCTATGATCATCATGCACACCTTGTCATTGATTAAACATCTAGTGTGAAAAATATTTTTTCTTTGGTTTTCTTCCATAGGTTTCAATTGACTATCAAGTAATCGCCTAATCATCAATAGATCTCCCTTTGGAATCTCTTCCTCCTCAGTGTCTTCACTCTTTTCTCCCTCTTCAACCTCAGATTCACTTATATATTCTCCCTCTTTAAGAATCATGGTCTTTGTGTTAGGGCACTCATAAGCATAGTGTCCTAGGCCTTGACACTTGAAACATTTCACATCTCTACTTTTTTTAGAGGGTTGTTCTTCATATTTTGAATGAGTCTTTGTAGGAATAGGTGTGGAACTACTAGAAGTAACAGTCCCATCTTTCTTGCCTTTGTCCTTCCAACTTGACAATCCAAAGTTGGTAGAACTCTTCTTAGTCATTTCTTTTCTTTTGAGTTGTTGTTCCACTCGAATTGCTTTATGAAGTAAATCCTCCATATCAACAAACTCTTGCAACTCAACAATATCACATATATCAATATTCAAACCACCAATAAATCGGGCCATAGTTACCTCTTCATCTTCTTCAATCTTTGCTTGAATCATGAGCATGTCCATTTCTTTGAAATACTCCTCAATCCCCCTGTTGCCTTGAGTAAGTTTTTGGAGTTTAAATTTCAAGTCCCTTGCATAACTAGCCGGCACATACCGCTTCCTCATGATCCTTTTCATCTCAGTCCATGTATTAACCATTGGTTCTTCATTTCTATCTCTCTCCTTTTGTAGCTTGTTCCACCAAACAAGAGCATAGTCAGAAAATTCTGTTGTTGCAAGCCTCACCTTTTGGGTCTCCTCATAATTGTTGCATGAGAAAACATGTTCTATTTTCATCTCCCACTCCAAGTATGCTTCTGGATCACTTTTTCCTTTGAACGGAGGAATGTTAAGCTTGACTCCTTCAAGCCTACTTGGTCTTGTTACTCCATCATTCATTCTCCTATTTCTCCTTTCTTCTTCGTCTTCAGAATTTCTATTCTCCAATCGGTTCAATCTTTCATACAACTCCTCGGTATGCTCTGTCAACATTCTTTGCATTTGGGCTGTAATGGCATCAATCAATAATCTATTGTCATCCCCTAGAGGAGGGGTACCACCACCTGCACCTGCCATCTTTTGAACCTTGCTCTGAATACCAAATGATATGAATCACAAAGGGGTAATTTAGGATCTTTAGGGTTAGAACCTTGTAAGAAATTTAGGAATTAGAAAGAAGGTGGAAGGAAAGAATCACTCTTCCCAAGGAAGGCAACACACAAAGGATGTGAAAGTCCTTTGATACAGCCAAGGGTTCTTGAATCACTCAAGAATTTAGGAGAATCACTCTCACTAAGATAAAAGAGATAAACTCTAATATTTCCGAATAAAATTTCACTTTTTTTCTTGATAAGAATGGTTCAAATTTGATATAGAAGCGTTGCCATCGAATTACAAAAGACTCAATAAAAGAAAATAAATATTAATAATAACCCATTAATCTAGGAATTGAAAACTATTTAATGGAAACAAATAAAGGCTAATAATGATCCATTAACCTAGGAATTGAAACTACTTAATGACTGATTGTATCCGAAATCGTGGCAACCAAAAGTCAATCGACTATGCACCCCTTGGTCTCCCAAAGGCTGATGACTAAATTTTCAATTGGGCCCTTATTACAACTTAAAACAAAATCAAACTAAAGCCCATTAATTGATTAATCCAAAACACAATTTGGTCAACCAACAATACTTGTTGAAGAGCTTCCTTTATTCCCCTTGCTCTAGCCCTTATCATAGGTTATGTTCACATCAATATGTAATATTAATGAATGTAGAAAAGAGTAGCGGTGTTAACTGGGTAGGACAATAAAATCAATGAAGACAAGGGTCTATGTTTGCCATCAAATTTGGTCATCCAATCTACGTCGACATTGGCTTCACAACAAAGAAAGCACACAAACCCAAAATTAATCTCGTTGCATATTTAGACTCCAAAACTAACTTCCCCAACCCCAGCAAAGATATATTTGATAGGTGAGAATCATGAGTACTTAGACCACCACTACTTTTTTATCCAAAGAATATGTCAATTTATCAAAAGACCAAAAACAATTTAACAATCTTGTCACATGTTTAAATTTATTAAGACTCAACTTCAACCCGAATTCTCCATAAAATGCCTTAAGCATGGAAGAAAGCAAACCAAACTAAGACTTTTTGGCTTTGCAAAAATTAAAAACAAAAAGGGTAAGAAATAGCATAATATTTATGACCTTACAATCAAGATAATATAGAATAAGATTTTCAGTTAGAAAAAGATTAGAAAAAGATTATTTTTTGAGAGTTATCTCATACTAAAAGAAAAGAAAAGAAGAAGATTTAAGGCTCAAATCTAAAATATTGAGACAAAAATCAATAGGAGAATATAAATTAATAGTTTATTGAAAATAGAAAGATAAAGAGAAAACAAAAAAATCCTTTATTGTGTAGATTTAAAATTTTCATGTCAAAATCCGTTCCAAAGATAAAAAATTTAACCTAATACCTCATGTCATAAAAAAAATTAATAACACAAGGAAAATCAAAATCACCTAAATCATTTTGTAAGAAATCTCACTGTACCATCTTATAAAGCTTTATCAAGATCAATTTTAAAGCTTTGTCAAAATCATATTTAAAGCCTGCAAAACCAGTTTTGCTTCTACCTTTGTGCGAGAAGTGAACAATAAAACAAGGCCTAAATTCTCATTCCTAGAAACTTAGTTTCTAAAAACAATAATTTTTTAAACAAATAAGTGTGCTAGTTGTAATTAACTACCATGACAATGACTTGGCCAAATAACAGTTATTTTCAGAATAAAAAAATTATATTTGCCTACAAAATTTATATTAATATACATTACATTTGTAGAAGAATTATCTTAGTATCAACAAGTCATATTTGCCAGTTGTCCAATACAGATTTGTAATTTGATAAAAAAAAAAAAAAACTTCGACCAATAATATACTCACCACGATAGTTATCAGTAACCGGACCTATTTTACGTGATCAGATTTTTCTGAAATTTCTATTAACCATTGCAATCATAACTAGTTAGGGTTTATTTTGGTGGGTAAAAGTAGATTCTGACTCTGACTCTGAATGTTGATTTTTACACCAAAAAAAGAGAGCCCAAAGTTATTCAAGTAATTTCAGTATTCCCTAAACTAAAATGGCTTGATCTACACAAGTAAAAAAAAAAAGTTCTTTGCTGAGATCAATTGTGATGATTACACGTTGCTCACAATCTTACAGAATATATGGAATTATAGCAAATCGACTCCTTGGATAATCTTCAAATTTCTGACGATACCAGTTATGTGTTTCCACAGCTGCAAATGACAGATTTGCCACCTATAAAAGAAATTGTCAAAAGGAAATCAAAATCAGAAGATAATTTGTGTAAAACAGTAAAACCTTGCAAAATCTGCAAAAGAAATATTACCACAAAAGCAAAAAGTAACCAGATTGTTAGGTTGGATCCTTCAGTAGCGACCACAAAACTAGCGTATATAACCTTCATCATCATCATCAAGTATTAGGCTTATTCATATCAGTCACATAAGTACAAGTTATAAAAGGCAGAGAAAGAGGCTTACAATCTCAGAGAGATAATGTGGAGAGGAGACGATTTCAAACCAATCACCATGAGGAATTACATATTCATCTGCTTGTGTTGAATGTCGTAGAGAACCCTGCCAAAATTATAAAACTCATATAGCCTCATGATAATTGAATGTAACAATATTAAGATAATCCATTCCACCTCATTACAGAAATGACATATTTGATTTAAACTCCAAAATTTCATTTAAAAGAATCATTGCATTTATGTTAGTTTACAAAATGTAAACAAAGACCCGCATGGAAGCCAGATGAAAAAAACTATACATATTTAATTTCTGACACCAAATTTACCATCTATTGTGACTTGGTAGCGTTAGTATAATATTATATCAGTGAGGTCGAAATAAATAGCAATTTTAAGCCATGAAGTTAAAAAGTGATAACCGCATGAGGGTGTAGACTAAAACCAATTAATATTAATTGTTTCACTGACCAAAATCAAAGATTTAGAGGTCTATCAAGTAGATGCATACAAGAATCTTATGGCACTGGTATTGATGAATCCAACCCCACAAGAAAACAGCTGCACCAATCCAATGCTTCCACCCAAGCCTGAAGAGAGGATTTAAAAGTTGCCAGATTTCTAACTCAGTTACTTGCACCTGATTCTTGCCCTTGACAATGAACTCGGTCACTAGATTTGCTACGAAGTTAAACACCTCAACTGCACAATCACCACACAGCGATAGTGGTGCTGCTATGTAGAAACTACCTTCAGAAAAATACTAAATCAATCCTCTTCATTTTATTATTTTCTGGAGAATAACCAGTGATAACCAAGAAGTACAAATACAGAAAATGATGCAATTAATAATTATGCAATTTTGTGTTATCTAAGAACATCATAGGTGTGGACCTTCACCACTTCAAATAACCAAAAAGATTGAATTTATTTTAGATTGCACAGTTGCACATCAACAGGTAATACTAGTACTTCAAATCAATATAGGACTAGCGACACATAAATAACATTTATTTCACGTGAGAAAAATAAATGGAACTAGTCATTCTCAATTCCAATCATCCACTACTTTCCTTTTCTTGCTCCTGTTTTTATTTCAATGAACTTCGGTAGAACAAGTGCATCAAGCACAGATTTAACAATCAAACTTTATATCTCAACAGCACTCAAATATACAGGCTAAGTCCAAATGTCGATCTATTCTATTAAAACAATCATAAATATTGGATATGAAAACTATCTTAATAACTTCAGATATAGAAGACACGAGATCTTACTCATTAATGGGGAAATATTTTAGGAAATTATTTTATAAGTTTTCGTAACAAACACAACAACAAAATTTCACAAAAAAAATAAATGACCACATTAAACAAAGTTTTCAATAATAGAACAAGTATCTAAATGTGCATGTTCTACTTCTCTCATATCATGCTAAACATTCAAAGTGCTATGGCAACTACAACATTGTTGTTCCAAGCGCCGCAGCATGCTCATCCTCATAAGGGTTGATTCAGAAAATGCAATATAATGAAAGCTAAACTTGAATATCCCTGGAAAAAATATCATACTTTAAGCTATGTCATGTTGATATATATATGTGTATGTGTGTGTTTGTCAGCATCATTCTGTTGATACACTCTTATCAGTTGAATTTCACATGGTCCTAATAATTTGTAAATGGGAGCTACCAAATGGGGAATGGAAACCACCTATTTAGTGAGACCCACCTGAATTTCACCTATGAAGAAAGTGTGTCGGAAAGGGTGATTTACTCAGATTTCTAGACAATTAATTAGCAATATATTCACCTCAGGTAGTGTATTAACCGAATTTACAAAGTTTACCCGTACAATTTCAGACCAATCAATGAATCAATCAACAATTAAGAATTATTCATCCCACGTATCAGATTTCGCACAACATTATCAAATCAGCACAGTAAAAACAACTTCCGAAGTTCAAAAACACAAATGCAAGTGAAGCAGATAAAAGGACAATCAATTAAAAAAAACTCACAACAGTCCAGTGAGATAACCAATGACATGCATGCGAGCAAAAGGGCTGTACTCAAACACATGAATGGTTTCAAAGAGTCGTCGGAAGACGTGAAGTTCCATCATCAAAAGCAGAAAAACCGCTTCCCACGCCACATAACCCTGCCTCAGTTTATACGAATCGGTTCTTATGTTGGAACCACCCGTCAAGAAACTGGTGACAGTAGAGTACGAAAACGGCACCGCGACAAGCGGCACCATGCTGTAGGCGTACGCCCAAGTCGCGACAAGCAGCAACGTCGTCCACAAAAAGGCCACCGCGTAGAAGTGCAGAAACAGCCTCTGAGGAATCGTGAATTTCTGCTGACAAAGAAAATTGCGTTTGCGATGAGTAATTTTGAGAGAGTGGGAACAAAAATGGAACCGCGTGAAATGGGTAAATACATGAAAGTGATGTTACTTGGGATGAGGATTGCACGATTTTGCCTCGCCCAGCGAAGGCAAGCAAGGTGCGGCGGAGGAAGCTTAGGTTGGGAATGGGAATGGAAGCGATTACGATGGGTAACGTGGCGGCGAGCCATGCCGCTCTCAGAATTTGCACGAGGAGCACCTCCATTGGTTGGTTATGCAGAATCATGGTTTCTGCGTGGATTTATTGAATCGAGAGAGATTCGAAGCGTGGGTGAGGAATTAAAAAAAATGTACGAGTGCGTGAAGGAAAGGGTTAGGGATCTGGATACAATGTTTCATTTCAATTTCATTTCCATTTTCATTTTCATGTGTTGAATGAATAGAAATTATGATGATGATAACGACGATCACAGTGAAATAGAGAGATTGAAGAATGCTTGTGTTGGATGAAAGTGGAAACGGTGTTGACGGCAACAGAGTAACCAACCTCGCACCATCAGAACGGTCAGAGGAAACTCATTGTAGAAGGCTTTTCCAATGCTTGACACGACTGTGCTAATTTTTTTTTTTTTCACTCTTTTAAATTTGTATATATTTAATAAATTCAAAATTATTTTTAATTATAAAATATGTTTTTATCTTTTGTTTAATTTGAATAATAATAAAAAAGTAAACACATGTTAGTCGAAAGTTTAATTATTAGGATACAAAGCAGGTACGTAATCATATAAAATATTTATAATTTTTTACTGTGTAAAACGAAATAGTTATCTGTGTCAACCAAAAAACTAAAACAATATTTCAAAATAATATTGATTAATATATTTGTTTTAAACATTTAAAACATTTTATTGCTATAATTAATTTACTTAATTTATTCTATTTTATGATTAATGTGAAATATAATGATGGTCATTTAATAAAATATAAGAAATTATTGATTATTATGGGAAGTCAAAATAAAATAAAGATAAAATAAAATAAAAATTTATAGTAACCAACTTGATGGATTAGGGTTAATGAAAGATGATTGAAGTTTTATGTCCAGTCACAAGAAACCATTAAAAAAGCGTGTGAAAAGAAAGAAAGACAAAAAGATAGATTAGGAGAAAGAGATTCAAGAACAAAAAGGTTAAAGAATAAATTCTCATGATTAAAGTTATAGTCTTTTTTACTATAATTCATGTATTGATGATGAATATTATATGAAAATCAATCATATAAAGATATTATAGAATAGTTTTTTATAATGAACTAAGACTACAGGAAAATTACAAATTAACTTAAATTTATTTTCAAAATTTAATTAAAAAATATAAAGTTGATAACATTGAACCATTTGTATCAAACGGTTTAGCATTTGAATCTTATTTTAGATAACTCAATAATCATTTGTAGGAAAAAAAGATATGTAAGTTTGTAAGTTTTTTTTATTGTATATGAAAGGGACATTTTAGTCTTTAAAATAGAACATTTGTATATGAAATGAAAGAAATAGAAAACAAAAACAAAGTATGTGTGTAGAAGTTGAAGAAGCAAAAATGGGGAAGGAATAATCTTTTGATAAAAGAGAAGATAGCTAAACGGTTGGAGAAGAATGAAAGTGAGAAGAGAATAGAAATTTAGGTAAAGGAATTGATAACAGTTAACATCAGAATATGTACTAGGGTATGAAATGATTAAAGTAGAAGAAAAATAATTTGCTGAGAGACAAAAGTGAGTATCCTTTTCAAAGAAGATGGATATCAGGATATTATTTCGATGGGACATTGTAGGGCCTTGTTTTCATTTAAGAAAGTGGATAAGGCCCTTTTTGAATTTCTCGTTTTGTTTTCTATTATTTATTTATTTTTCATTGTATCAAATAGTTTTGTGTAAAGTATCTATATATGTGATTTTTTATTTCATTATATATCTTTATCTGTTCACTTTGGTGTATGATTGTATTGGGCTCTGTAGTTTTAAAAGAGTGAAATGCTATTTTGAATCTTAAAATTAAATTCCATTTTTTTTTTAAGAGAGAGAGATTTATATGCTTCACATTTATAACTTTTATGAGTTTTCAAATAGGAAGGGTAGCAAAAATTTGGATATCACTTTTACTTCAACTTTATTGAGTAATATGGTATTATATATTTATTTATATATTATTCATGGACAATATATTTAGAAGACAATTATCAAATAAATTTTAAATTTTTTAAATCTTTTTAAAAAACAATAAACAAATCGAATGACAAAAATAATTAATCAGCTAATTCCATGTATTTAAAATATAATAATTTAATATATAAATATATGAAAATAAATTTATTTTATCTTAAAATAAGATTTAAAAAATTATTTTTTATTATCATCTTCAATTTTTAATAATTTATTAATTTAAAATAATAATTAATCTTAATAATTAAACATTAAAATAAGTACATTTATTATTAAATTATTTTTTAATATATATATATTATTAATAAAATAAAATAAATTTAATTTTAAAATAATTATTAGTTTATAAAATAAATCCATCTATAAGTTTATAAATTAATATAACCTAAATATATATATATATATATATATATATATATATATATATATAAGTGATAAAATCTGGACAAAATAAATTTCATTTCATTTATATCACACTTTTTTTTAATTTAATGTATTTTTGAAACTTTTTAAATTAATCTATTACACTAAATATATTTTCACATAATAAATATATTTTCACATCCTTCAAAATTTTAGAAATTTGAATAATTTTTTTTACCATAATTCAGACATTGTAATTTTTTTTTTAATTTCTATTTGTTTTAATCAATTCTAACCATATTCACCGCCAACAGTGCATTAATGACTTTATTTCAATCTTACACTCGATAAACAACTAAAAAATAACTAATATACTATGGAATAAAGATGGAGGTGTTAGTGAGAAATCGATAAAGGGATCGAGAAACAAATGGGAGTAAAAAATCGAAAACCATTTTGATTGAGTTAAAGACTGATAAATCGAAAGATAGTTGGAAATACGTTCGACGACCATGTGACAATATGATCGAGAATTAGAATCGAGAAATCGAAGGAAGAATGTTTTCGAGAAATTAAAATTTTGTAATGTTAAGGTTAAGGAAAACCAAGACCAATTCAAAGTTCTCGAGATCAAGAGATCAAAATCAAGAGGAAGGCTAACCTGCGTGGATGTCGAAATCCCGGCTAGGTCATAAAGAGGGGAACAGTTAAACGCGCACATAGGAAACAGTTTCTAAACCGTGGCAGAGGTCGAAGATCATGGGAACGTGGGTGCAGTTTTGATACCGAAGAAGAAACTGCAACATGCACATAGGACGTGGTAGCAATTTTCGTTAACCGCTCCTAAGAGGTTACTTGCTTAAAGGATGTCCTATAAATAGAGTGAAGGATGAAGGAAGAAGGGAAGGTAGAAATTGGCAGAGAGAGCAGGAATACTAGTGAGAAGTCTACCGGAGAATGACGAACATCATGGAGTTTCTCGTGATCTGGATTTCCATGTTCATTGATTTCCTTTACCATTTTCTTTATTTTCCCTGGTAATTTACTTTGATGCAGTTTATGTTTAGCAACTTTAAGTTTCTGTGTTTTCGATTCCTTGTCATTTCTCTTTAATGAAAGTTAAGTTTCTGCGTTTAAGTTCATTGTCATTTTTATTAACGCAATCTCGATCTCCTGCTATTTACATTTCTGTAATCTCGATTTCCTGTTATTTACATTTCTGTAATTTCGATTTCCTGTTATTTATATCTCCGCAATTTCGATGCTTTGTCGTTTACACTTAATGCAAATTTGAGGTTTCTGCATTTTTCATTCCTTCGCGGTTTTACATTCGGTACTGCTTTTCGATTTGTCACTTTACTGTTTTCCTCATTTCAAGTACTTCAAATACAAAATACCAAAAATAGTGCTTTCGATTATTAATCTTAGTATTTTCTATACAGTGGTATTTTTTATTCTCATACGCATTTCGATTGAAATTTAGTTGCTAGCCTAAGTATAAAGAATCTACGTGGTTGAGTTTTGGCTAGAATCAAAGCCTCTTAAGAATCGAAATTAATCAAAATTCCACCAGAAACAAATTGGCGCGCCAGGTAGGGGATTCGTGTCGAAAAAACACAAAATTGGTTAGTTCGAAAGTGTATGAGATTAAGGAGTGGGCGAGTAATAAGAATGAGTCAAAATCCACCAAATAACCAGAGTAACAGTGAGGGTTTGAACAGTCTGAATGGTTCACATCCACCAAACACTGGGGGCAAGGGCATAATGGGAATATGCCTGTAGTATCGACAACCGCGGGTATGTCGATACCTGTAAGTAATGAACAAAGTTCAGGTACACTAGTAAATACTCAAGTAGGGTCTAATACTGTGATACCAAACAATATGCAAACTATGGGGAACCCCATAACAACATATGCGAGGTCGTATATGAGCGTAAGACCACCTGGTTTTTCGCTTAATAATATGAGTGGGGCTGGTACTTCTCCAAGTACAACGAAATTCAAGATTTAACTTAGGAATGCCTCAAAACTTAGGTACATTTCAAACTCTAGGTATGCCGCAAAATTTCGGAGTATCTCCAAATTTAGGAGCGTCTCAAAATTCAGTAACCCCCCAGAATTCAGGGAGTGTGCAGAATTCAGGTACACAACAGACACCTTCAAACATAGATCATAGAATAAATATGGATCATGGGAGATATACATTCGATAGAGATTATCATCGGTCCAACTTCGATACTATCGAAAATGCCAGTACTGGAATCTCCAGTAACTCATTAGGAGTACTTAGACAACAAATGGATGAAAGCAATTTTGAGATGGTTAATATGTTGTCACAACAGTTAACTACAGTCCTAAACCCATTAGTTCAAAACACTACTACTAGTTTTGAGATATTAGTAGACCAAATGGCCCGTATCGGGGATGCATTTGCCATACCTCGACAAACGAGAATGGAAAATCATGTCACTCACAGCATTAACCAGAGTGCTAATATTAATCCTCCTTATTTATTAAGAAGGAATCGACACAATGATCAACATCAGAATCGGGGGAACGAATATCAACATGTGAGGAATGATATTTATGGAAATCTGAATGAGGGATTTCAGAACATGTATAATCAAAATAACATGCAGTTTAACCACATGTCAGGGCAAAGGATGAACCCTCAAGGGGTAGAATTAAGGTCACCCAAT